TTTCCTCGGGGAATTGAGTGTAACTGAAAACCCATGTCAGAGTGTGTACAAAACCTTCAACTAACTAGATCAGAAATGCAGCGTGCCCATGTCAGGCCTGACTTCCCACACCCACCTTGAACACCCCAACAAGAACAAGAAAAAAACCCGCAACGATCACCCACTTGTTCACGTCCTCGTGATGCCGCTTCTTCGCGCGCCCTTTCTTCGCGTGTCTCTTCCACCATATGTTCCAAGATGTCCTTGAAGCCTTCGCGCTGTCTCCGGCTCATGTTGTCGATGTTTAGAGTGGGCTCTTTGGTATGGACATCTTCCGCCTCAAGACGTATAGAAAATCCGGGCGTTGGGGAAAACGAGGGGATTGGAGATGGTCCAGTTGTGCCGTTTCACTGGGAACACCGAGGGACAAGGTTTGGATTCAAACCATCTGAGACCCGGGATGCCACAAAAAGACCTGCAAGTCACTCAGCTTGTCACTCAGTGTTGAAACCTGCTTCACGAGGCTTGGAACCAAGACGGAAAGCGCGGGACGCAGCCACTGATGTGAACATGGACAAAACATTGACACCAAATAGACCTCAAAAAACCGTGTGTCCCCACATCTCAAAAAACAGTGTGTTCCTTGTCATTTACGGTGTTTTAGCTTCCAAAACATTCCAAAACCCGTTGTTCTAAGGCTGTCCGTCCACCAAAAGGCTCAACGTCTTCCCATTCAAGATTGACACTAAAGACCTCTTTAAAAACCTGTTCCCATAACGCTCCAAAAAATGAGCCCGATGCACACCAACACCTCCAAAAACCACTGACCACAGCTACCAAAAGCTAGTTTCAAGCGCTCAAAGCGCTTTTCGTCATCGTTCGGCCTGCTCCGTGTTCTTCTCTCCCCAAAACACGGTGTTCAAGCAGAATTCCCTCCATCGGTTTAAGCTACCGACCCCCGCGTAGCCCGCCGCGTAGCGAGTCCAACCCAAAAGCGTGGATCGGGATCCACCCCAGTTCTCTGCATGGTCTCCTTCGAATGAGCTGGGACTTGTGGGAGATGATTGCCACCTACAAACGCAAACCCAGACCTTGGTTAACGAGCACACCACGCTTCCCACGGCCAAGCTGCGATGTTGCTGTACATCTGAATCAATCTTCTGATCTGAGCGGCAAAAACCATGTCGAAACTCAACTTCAAATCGAATTGAGGTGAATCTTTTGGCCAATACCTTCCACACAAGAACAATTTGCAGGGGAAGCAGAACCACCTTACCACCTTGATTTGCCAGGGCGTTTGAGAGAATCCCCAGGATTCACCCACCGAATCGGTGCTCGACTTGCTTTCACGAAGAGTGGTGGAGCGATCCCGGTGATCAAGAGTTCCGCTCAGAAATAAAGTCTAATGGGTCTAGGTGAAAACGGCGAAAACGGCAAGAACGACGAAAACCGTGAAAGCCATGTTCAAGCATGTTCAAGCCAAAATGTGTTTTGTTATGTTTTGTTTACCTTTAGTTTTCAAATTTTCTCGGTTTTCTCGCTTTGTCCGGCGAATCCTTAGGATGGTGGATTCATGTCGCTCATGTCACGATGGGCGCCAGGTGGATTCATATGCCTACAAATGGCCTATATAGCCTATAACATCTAACCAGTACATCCTGCATAGGATGAGGGACTGAGGCACCCTCGGACTGAGGCCCCCACACGGTCCTCTGAGATTTGTTCTGCCAAGCCGTGAAGAAAATCGCGTTCTTGCTGGTCGCACGGTGACCACGGCGAAGCCATCTGGCGCGCAGACGGGACACGTCCAGACCAACACGCCGCCCAAGTTGCCACAAAAGGCTTTCCCACAAGGGGCCTTTTGATGGCTTGGTTGAAGACCATAAGAAAACCACAGAGTCTCAACAAACTCATTGACCACAGGTGTGACATGACCCCCTCCCCCCCTGGTCTCCTCATTTCTGATGTCTGTGTCTGATTGTTGGTCGTCCTCCTCAATCGTCTGAGCTTGTGGTGCTGGCACCATTTCCTGAGCCGCCTGGGCATCTCTTCTGTTACGCGAAGCGGTCGAGTTGGGAGAGGCTTTCGGCGCTGCCTTAGGTTTTGCCTTGGCGGTTGGGCGGCTCTTCAAAGCCGCCTTCGGCGCTGCTTTCGGCGTCGCCTGGGCTTTTGCAGCTTGCCTCGCCTGTACCTCGCTTGCCTTGGCCTGCTTGGCCTCTGTCTCCTTCTCCTTCGTCCTCTTTTTGCTCCTGGCGCCTTGTGCCTTGCTTACTTCCTCCACACGCCACTCCCACCTCCAAGTTTTTCCAAGCTTAATCTTGTTCATCTTCTCCCGGATCCTATTCACCTCATCCTGGGTCAACCAGAATTGACCAATGGCGCATGGATCTGCAGGATCCAGGGAGGGTGAAGGCGACAGCGCCTTTCTCTTCGGCATAGCTCTGTCGGGATGGCCGCCGCCCCCAGCACTGCTCTGTTGACACGCAAACAAACACACAAACTGCTGAAAGTGCATATTTTTAAATATATATATATATATTCTGTCAATTTCTGCCTCACTCCCTACAAGGAAGTTTGCCCTGAGCAGAAAATGCAGCGAAACAGGCAAAAGACTGAGCTGGAGACTTACAGTAGACCGAAACGTCACTGCTCGAGGGCCGTAGGTTGGAGAGAAACATACCCTTCACTAAAGGAAAAATGTTTCTCAGAACCCCAAGACATAGGCCGTGTGCGCATGTTCAAAGACACCGCCCAAGTGACCCTGGTAGTACTCTGGCCTGACCCTCACAAACGACTTCCAGCCTTCAGGCATTTACACTTTCATCGTCCGCACAAAATGGAATGTCTTCGTTGATTTGGTTTGAAGTGTTTCCTGACATTGTCTTCAAGAGATGCGGAACGCCTCTCTCAGGGGAAAGGTATAGGAACATACTGTTCCTCAACAAGGTTTGCTTCGCCTGATTTCTCCTGGTCAAAACACATTGCTTCACCGTTGCCCAAACCTCAAAAAGGCAACCGTGACCGGCCGTGACCTGCCACAAGACTGGGTGAGGCAGCCAGTCACAAACCCCACGGAGCTCCCTTGAAAAAAAAATATGTGGAGGCCTCTCTCATAATAGAAATGCAGTATTAGTTGGAATGATAGAAGTTGGATGATATTTGGATAGTATATACCAATGTAGCCCCCTTTCAACAATGTAGTTGGGATGTAGTTGGTCTCTTCAAACGAAGAGGCGACCCGAAAACGCCCCGCTCGACCTCAGGACCGCGCCTCTCCCACGGCGTCGAGACGCCCCAGGCGTGCGGCCAGATGAAGGCCCACAGGACCCCAGGGGCCTGCGTGCTCCTGTTGGGCGGCATGAAAACAGAAACGAGATCGATTACTTCTATTTCTTGCATGCCTTTTCTGCAGCAAGAAGGTGCCTATCTGAACATCTCTCTGAGATAGATTAGTGGTATATATATATATATACAGTATAATGTACATCATAGTGATGCAGGAGTGCTAGAGGTTTTTTGGGGGGAGGTTGCTAAGTCCGCGCATGAAGCTAGCCCCAAGTTCTCTCAGTTCAAATTTGGTTGTCACATCATGCCAAGCTTAAAGAAAGATCCACCATGATACACCCGTTTTTCTTGGGGGGCGGACATCTACACACTTCGGTGGTTACCCCTAAAAAGATGGGCTCCTCGCATGTCCATCATGTCACCACCCAGAAACTAAGGCTCGCAGCCCGGCCTCCACGTCCCCCGGCACGGCCTCCGGCACCTCCGGCGCCTCGCGCGGAAAGCGCCTCGGGCACACCGGGCTCGCCCGAAGAAGGGAAGGTCCCACAGGTCCCACGAGTCGAGCTCCGGGCCGCCGGGCCAGAGATCCACATCAGCCAGGAGGGCTTGACATCCTTTGAGGCTTTCGTCTTGTGAGTCCTCCGTTTCGTCGTTCAGAGAGCGCGCGGCCGTTTCGCGGGACGGGACTGAAAGGATCACCATGTTGCAATGATGATGCTTTTCTCACGTGAGAAACATAAATTAAATGAAAAAAGTAATACGTATGTAAATCAAGTCCAAAAAATATAGTAATCGTGGGCCCCTTCTGTCGGAGCCGTTGTTGTCTTCCACTCCTACAAGCCAGTGTCTAAGTCGTCTCCAACCGCCGCAGGTTCCGCGGCGGAAGGACCGTCTGTCTGTCGGACCAGTTCCGTCCGCCTCGCGGAGCTGCTGAAGGATCTGCTGCACTCGTTGCCAGCGCAGCTTTCGGTGCCAGGCCTGGAGGCCACGCGCCGTAAGGGTCGCGAGGCGCGAATCGACGGGTCGGGAGGGAAGGACGGTCGGAGGGGCCAAAAGGGGGGGGGCAGAGAGCGAGAGAGCCAGCGCGAGCGCCAAAGTGGAGGGATGGCACCGGATGGAACCCAGAACCACGATTTCGTCGTGAAGATTCTACCGTTTTTCTGTGGTGAGAAACTTGGGGGTCTGTGGATCTTGCAAGGATGGTGCTGCAGATCAATCTTTAGGTCCTTTCATGTCCTTTCCAGCTTCAGACCAATCCAGTTCCTGAAGGAAAACGTTGGTACAATCGAAAATTAAACTGCAAGAAGACATATTCTTACATCTTCAGGCAATTACTGTATGTTCATGTTGGCTGGCTCGTGAGTGCCGGTGTTTTCTTTGACACAGGATCAGATCACTATGCAAAACCTGGTAAAAAGATGGTAAAGCATCAATTCTGCAGCGATCGCCACCACCCGATCAGATCTGCATGGCGGTTGAAACGGTTCACAGGGACTGGTGCTTCCCCGTGCTTCCTGGTGACCCCTCTTCCCCCTCGCCTGAACGAAGTCCTGCCCGGGAAAATAGCTTCCATGCGCATCCATGGCATGCTCATGCGCATCATCGCCACACGCCGTGAAGCAAACCCAGCAAAAGCCTGGCGAAGCGCGACCGGACCTTGGGGGCTGAGGTGGACACGGTGTTGGGACCTTGGGCGGTGGAGGTGTGGGGAAGGACCTTGGTTTTCGGATTCGCCTTCAGAAATGAACCTGGGGCTTGCCATGAACAAAGCGAACGAAAACGTGCAGACGCTGGGAGACCCCTCTAAACACTTACAACTGGGATGCCAACTGCCATCTTGGCCGAAGAAAAGCTGCCAAAGCTTTGAGGCACTGAACTCCAGGCGTCAACCCCTCTTCGCTTCTGCCTTCATTGCAGGCCAAGCAAGTCATAGCTACGCATCCTCGATTTGTCGGGGGGAGTAGAGCGAGAGTGCAGAGTCCGTCCAAGTCGCGATGGTCCAAGTGCTGCGAGGCATTGCGCCAGTGCCACGGAATATCAGAGTAAAGTCTGAAGTCATAAGATTATCATGATATGCGTGGAGAACTATCAGAGATCAATTGGATTCAATTGAGTTCATCTGAGTTGAGATATATTAGTTGAGAATACCTTGGTTTCGAGTAGCTCTGAGGTTACCTACTCTGCCGGCATTTCAATTGGTCGGAACTTGCTCAAGGTGCTCAGGCTGTGTATTCTTGACATCCCTCTACAAAGGTGCCGCCACACTCATCATGGCAAACAACTCGAGTCTACTCAAACGAAAGGGCTCGGACTTGCTGTGACTTGCTCCCACTGACCCCCGATCACAGCGATTCTTCTCAGAGGACACCACTTGGGGGGTAAAAAGCGCTAGCGCTTGGAGCGGCCGAAAGGAGGTGGCGCGGTTCCGCCGATGCGGTGATGGCACCGTCAGGATCCGGGTCCAATGGGCAATGACACCTTGGGCAATGCATCGTCAGGCATTCCGCCACCTGGGCCCATCCAGAAGTCAATGAAAGCTGGATGAGAACATCCAGAAGTTTGATCATAAGAGAGAGACAAAATGAACATCAGACTCACCGAGTTCACATGCAATGTGTTGATTGGGGAGTGAGGCTAGGTTTGGTTCGTATCAAGAAATACACATCGGTAAGTTGGATTTATCATGGTGATTAATCATTCTCCCAAGCCCGAAGGGTTTGACAGGGTTTGCACCAGTAGGTGGGAAGGACTCCAGGTACGGAAACAGCGTCAAAAGACAATTTTTGGATCTCCTGATGGAGTTGGAGGCCACACTTTGTCCGCGACAAACCAACAAACAAAGCAGAAAACACCTCGCCTGGAAGTGGCAATCCCATGTATTTGGGGATGTTATTGGAGTTGGAGGCGAAAGTGTGTCCCAACAAACCAACAAAAGCCGAAAGCACCTCGCCTGCAAGTGGAAGAGCCGTGGAGACATGTGCTGGCGCAACTTCATCCTAGTGCAAGGTCGTGCTTCAGGGAAAGAAACCCTCTGAGTGCCAAACGAAAAATGTGCTTTCAGGGGTAGGAGAAGCAAAACATAGCAAAACAAAAAGTAAAAAACGGCACTCGGGGGGGGTTATTTTTTGGCATGCAGCTGCATGCATCTGAATATTTGGTCCTGTTGCCTGTTGCAGAGATGTCTGACCATATTTTCAGAGCAACAGGCCACCTGCTTTGAGACTTCAAACCTGTCAGAAAACCTTGCAAACAACCTCACTCAACTCAAGAAAGAACCGCAAAGGGATCTTTCGATATGTCCAAAACGTTCGGCAAACTTCGCAGACATGCAGAGATAAAGACCTCCAAACAAGAGCAACCAAACAGAATGTATTTGGGCTCATGATGCGCTGGGAAAAATCGGCATGCAGGTGACCGAACTTGGATCTGTGCAGAATTGTGGTATTTGTTTCAAGATATGCAATGCTTTGCACATAATCATGAACATTAAAATCTATCTCAGAGAACAGGTTGCTTGTGATGCAAGGCGCCTGTCGGGTTCATATTGAATGTAGGTGCTGTCACCCTCGCAGAGGAGCCAGGTAAATGGAAGCCTTGCAGACGTCCGGTTGCGTCAATCCCAGGGTTTCAAATAAATTGGTTCTTGTCCTGACAGATCTGTAGAAGTGCACAGTTGGCCATATCGGAAACAACAGTGTCAAGTGCACATGACACCATATATATGCCATTCTGGCACGAGACTGGTTTGCGAAGTTCTATTTGGCTTGAAGAAAAGACTGCTTTTTCCAAAAACTAGACCCCAAATTAAGGAATCTTAGAGCTCTGGAGTCGGCATTCCGTTCTGCTGGTCATCTCTTTGGTTCAGTGTGGACTCATTACGTATAATTACGTTATACAATGTATATGTTTTGTCAATGAGCCCACAGGTGACAGAAAGGGATGTGAATTCTCAACCTCAAACAAATCTTGATTGATGGGGAACCCTGCGGATCCGAAGATGTCAAATCCTCAAGACCCCAAATCTTTCTCAACCAATTCAACCATCACTAATTCCCCTTTTTTCCACCAACCCTGCGGAACTCAAAATGCGCTGAGCCACACATCCTTGGTGCGGCGCAACACTTTGGGCTCGTCATCCTCGGAAACGCGAGAATGCGTGGCCAGCCGTACCGACCTGGCGCGGTCAAGAATCCAGTCGAGAAGCTCGAAACCGTGCACGATGAATCCTGAAGCCACCCGGGAACCCCTTTCTTGGGGGGTGGAGAAGCGTTTGGGTGGAAGGTGGGTACGATCTCCAGAAGAACCTCTGCAGAAGAACCTCTGCTTCATCATTTTGGTGGGGACAAATGGCAGGTTCGATGGTCGAACGTTGAAGAACCCCTACACGTCGGTCGATCGTCGGTCGATCGCCGTATCGCCGGTTTGTCAGACATTGATGGCCAGTCGGTCACTGATCGTCGCATGACGGTACAGTGGGGCGAAAGAGATCCGGAGGAACTGTGATAGAGACTCTGCAAACACGCTAGGAACAAAGCAACTGCAGCTGAAAGGAAGAAGGGTTCTGGCAAAAGACTCATCGTTCGTCTATCATTGGAGACGAACGGACCGATGGAAATCAAGTGCAGCAGTTGTATTAAACCTGTGATGGTCAAAGCTTCTACCCAAATTTGAACAACTGCTATATAGATTCTATAGATAGATAGATAGATAGATAGAAACAAACCCCGTGTATATCTAAAAACAAACATAGAACAGTCCATGTAGCGTCAGTCGGTTCATCCCACCCCCTTCCGCCCAAAAACAGGGGTTCCCCCCCGAGACCAGGCCCGTGCCGCGGCGGTTTGAAACCGGGAGTGGAGTCCAAAACGGGAAGGGGGAGACCACCGGTGCCATGGGAGGGTACTCTGCTTGTTGTCACTTTCATCAAAAAAAAACAGCAAAAAATGTTTATAGAGACTGCAGCAACTCACGCCTGGTATTCAGATCCTCCACCAAGACCGACCATTCCTCATCCTCCTGCAATGAGCACGTCTGGGAGGGAGGTCAATGAGCATTTCTAATCCCAAAATCCACATCTTCAGAATCCAAATCTGCGAACAGGGGGGATTCTACTTCCACGTTTGTTGGATGTGACAAGACATAACAATGTTGATTGGTCGATTGGTGGTTACGTTCAATCATTGATATGTGAAGGCATTGATGCTGAACGTCTACTTCCTGTTATACCATGGGGTAACAGGAACACGCAAAGGGATTGTGCAAGTTGGACATGTTCAGTCGCCATTTTGGTAGCCTGAGTTTTGCTGAAGATTGCTGTCATTGATCTGATGTGGCACTGCACGCGCGCCAGGTCAACGGCGTTGCGGTGGCCAGGTCAACGGCTGCAGAGGACAAAGCGGCGCCAGCAGCTTCGAGGGCCACAACTTCAGAAGCCAGCTTGGCGCCAACTGTGGGGTCAAAGGATACCACAGCGACTGGGAAGTACTTGTCACCAGCATCAGCACTTACTCCAGCTGACGCGCATGGTTCCACGGCAGCCTGCATGCCCGACGACCGCGCCGTACAGTGAACGCCCCTTACTCGATCCATAGGCTGGCTCTTCTCTCACCAGCACTGAAACTTCCTCCAAAATCTGTCCTTCTCCGACCTTCTCCCGACAAAACTTCACCCAGCTTGCTCCATCGTGGAAGATTTGGGGAGCAAAAGGCATGAACTCCAAGTCCTAGACTGCCTCTAGAACTCCAAGTCCAAGACTGCCTCTAGAACTGGAGTGAGCGTCTCCATGTTGATCGTCAACGAAACGGGCTCGGCAGCTTGAACACGTGGAGGCCAGCCCATCAACAGTCAGCGCAGCACCATGCGCATTGTTGAGCGTCGAGCTGGCCAGTATGGACTCCGCACTTGCAACATCCACCAGACCACCATTTCCGAGTTCCCATTTCGCAGTGCTTGCATCGCACGCAAGAAGGTGGACAGCTTTGCTATGATCTCCAACGCCCACACACTGGCCTGAGCTAGCACTCCTCAACGAGCCATTGGGATCCATCGGGCGCCAAACTGCAAATTTCACTGCCATACACCGCATTGGCACGCTCGTCTAAGAATACCCCATGGCTTTTGGCAGCGACCAAGCATGTGTCCTACGGCGAAGTTGCTCTGACCAAAAGGAAGCTGGGCGCTGCAGCCTTTTCGGTAGCCACGGCCTCGGCCAACAACACGAAAACAAGAGAGCAAAGCGATCGAAACATTGCTCAACAACGTTCACGGTCAGGTCAAGAGCCAGTTTTTGCTGTCAACTTGAGCCAAAATTGATGCCCGGGCATTTGCAATTCAGTCTGAAGAACCTTTTCAGTATATACTGTCGTAATATACTTGCAATCTGCCGGGAGCTATTCAGCTTTACTACCAATGGGCTGAGTATGATCACGTGACGGTCACATGGTCAATGTCTAGTTGCTGAAAAAATTGAACTCTGAAGGCAGAACCAAGTCTCAACCCACTCACTCTTCTTGCGAGGCTCAACCACCGCTCCTTCTCGGACCTCCGTTCGGAGCACTCCTCCGGGTCCTCCGGGGCGACCTCGACCTCCTCGGTGGCTTCGACGAAGCGCCGCAGCGCCGCCCCCGCGAGGCGTGCCTGCACCTGGCGCGGCCGAACGGGGCGGGCGGTTCCGTCCGAATCGTCTGGCCAAGAGATGGGTTGTTGGGTTGGACAAGACCGTAAGTGTTGGACAGTTGTCGTTCTGCTGGGTGGAAAAGGGTTGTCCGCTCTTCTGGTCCATTCTGTTCGGTTCCAATTTCTGGAAGTTCTGGGTGCATTTCCCTGCGTGCTTTGCTATGCGCCGGTGGTGGTGGTGGTGGTGGTGGTGGTGGTGTGGTGGTGGTGCTGGTGGTGCTGGTGGTGGTGGTGGTGCTGGTGGTGCTGCTGCTGCTGGTGGTGCATGGTGGTGGTGCATGGTGGTGGTGCATGGTGGTGGTGCATGGTGGTGGTGCTTGGTGGTGGTGCTTGGTGGTGGTGCTGGTGGTGCTGGTGGTGCAGGTGGTGCAGGTGGTGCAGGTGGTGCAGGTGGTGCAGGTGGTGCAGGTGGTGGTGGTGGTCGTGGTGGTGGTGGTGGTGGTGGAGGTGGTGGTACATGGTGCAGGTGGTGCAGGTGGTGGTGGTGCATGGTGCAGGTGGTGCAGGTGGTGGTGGTGCATGGTGCAGGTGGTGCAGGTGCAGGTGGTGCAGGTGCAGGTGGTGGTGGTGGTTGTGGTGGTGGTGGTGGTGGTGGTGGTTGGGGCGGTTGGGTGGTTGCTGTTCGTGGTGTTGTTGTTGTTGGTACCAGAAACAGAAAATGCAAATAACGCAAGGCTACTTGGTTGGCATAATTCGCACTTTTGGGCGGCACCCTTACGAGCATGTTACTAAAATATAAAAACAAAAACACATGGTTTGATATGTTAGCTTGCAAAAACACCAAAACCACAGTGCTTTTCGTGGTTTGCGCGCACGCGTTTAGTTCCCTTTTCGCTTGGGCGCATTACCTGCACCAAACCCGCGCTAGGTCTACACAGGTTGGGGCTCGACAGGAGCCAGGACCACTGAATGTGCGCATTTGACGGTGCTTTGCGGCGTCGATTTTTTTTATCTTTATCAATTTATCGGCGTCAACAGCCCGTGGTGCGAGGCATGTTGCCCGAGGTATCCTGCATTGTTAGCATTTTTATGCATGTGTGTGTTTCATGGCTTTGCAACCAGGTCGGCCGGCCCCCGGGTGTCAGGTTGGACCACACTTAACAACTCAGTAGTGCTTTGGATGGGGGTTGGAAAAGAAAAGCCCAGACGAGAAGCTTAAAAACTGTCAAACAACTCCCCCCCCCCAAGGCTCCAACAACTTGTCTTACAACTGGTGACTGATCTTCTGACAGGACGAGCCCAATGCTTTGGACCTGGTGCCCTCTGGTCGCCAGGGTCTCAATGAATATCTCTTCCACTTCGCTTTTTTAAATCCCCCTCTGGCAGCAGAACCGTTCATCAACCAGGTGTGTGTGTGTATTTGTTCGTCCTTTCTCATCACAAACGCCTCACAACGCCTCAAACGCCCAATGCGGCGCGGCACCTGCTGTCGCGAGAAGATCGTCGGTTCTTCGCAGTTGCAGGCACATGCTGGGCACACCACCCCGCCTGGCCACCCAGCGTGGAAGGCAGGCATGTGTACTCTGAATAAATTGAAATGAAAGGTCCATCATGTTCAAGCAAGACCTCTACAAAGAGTTCCTCCATCGATTTTTGCTTGGATATGGAAATCATTGACTGATTCATGCTCAATTGATTGATGCATTGATTCATTGATTGATGCATCAACCAATGCATCCGAGATCGGATGCTTCAACCACTGAGGCCACACCATGCGGGCCCGGCCTTCGTGGCGGCGCAGCTCGGCGGTGCCGATGAGGCTACAAACGTAGGGTTCCTGGTGGCGGGGCGCGCGCGCGCGCCGTGACGGAAACCGGGGGGGGTGGGTCGTCCAGCTCAAGAAGCATAAATCCTGAGCCTCCAAGCTATACGAGCAATGGCTAATGTAAACTCAAGAAACTGATGCTTCATGAGAACTTCCCCCTCCATTGATGTCAGACTCACTCGACTCACTCAAAGCACACACACACAGACAGCGCGTTCAGAGGTTCGGCCCCGTTCGGGTCGCACCAGGCAATCACCGCAAAGCAGCTGGTAGCGCCCGTGCAGCTGAGGGCAAAGCAGCCCCAAGGATTTGGGCGCCACCTGCGGAGTCTGCGGAGTCTGTGTGGAGAACGGTGATCTGCTCTGAGTCTGTCGTGTTCGTTCTCTGTGCGTAAGACGAGGACGGACCGAAAACTGAGACATACGAGACTAACATACTCGAACAGCTCTGGAAGGTGCAGAAAGATGTGCGTCTTCGGAGGTTCCTCTTCCTTTTTCAGGGACATGAACTCCGCATATTGATGGTCTCCAAAAACTCCAAAGAGATCAAAACAAATATCCAATCCAAATGTTATAGGGAATTTTTTCTCTTCGCTCGGCGTGCGCTCGGACAAATCCGTTGCGGCTGCTCTTTCCCCGTGACTCACCCATTTCCGCCGTCTTGGCAGTCACAACGACGACAGGAGGAGCGCCAGCCGGAGGGGCCACAAAGAGGTCCGGGTCACATGGCCTCCTGCAGTCTGCACATCCTATAGGGTGCCCATATATACAGAAAGAGGTCATTTCTAAGGCTAGATATTTGCGGCACCTGGGATGAGAAGAAAAACCAGGTGCCTTCCTAGGACCTAGGAGTTTCGCATCTCCAGGTTCGATGATGTTTGGTGGGCCCAGTGACACCGTCTCTTTCCATGCGCTTGGCCCAAGAGAACTGTGATAACAAAGCTGCTTGGGAACCAAGGGATGAGGCAACCATGCTCGGATTTTGAGGCCTCCAGGCCATGATTTCCGGATCCATTTCTTCAGACCTTTCCGCGCCTCCAAGCACACACAACAGAAGGCCTCCAGACCTGAAAACGGCTGGAGTCCGGCGGAGGCTTCGGATTTGTCATGGATGGCATCGGTTCAAGCGGGATTCATGGCTACGAAAGAGAAACTGGAAGAACCTAGTAGCGTCCTTGCTCCTAGTAGTAAGGCCAGGAGCCCCTAGTAGCGTCCTAGCTCCTAGTAGCGATGTCAGGAGCCCCTAGTAGCGTCCAAGGACTAACACCTGTTGGATCTGTGTGGAAAAAGAATATGTGCTCGGGCCAGGACCAGGCCATGGACAGCGCTTTCACAGGGCGGGACTCAGACCATGCTGAAATGAAAAAACCATGCACAACCGAACCCATCACCGCCCCCGTCAACGGGTGCACGGCTCGGCGATGCCCGTTCTCCGGCCTTGTTGGAACGCCCAGCAGGCTCGAAGCACGTGCCGCAGCACCTTCCAGCCATGGCCACGAGGTGCTCGTGTGTTCGGTGAGAAGCGGCGCGAATCGAGGCCTCCACGGCACGGGACGACGCGAAGCAAGACCCAGCGGTGAGAGAAACCGAAAGACCAAGACTCAGACATCCTGCGGAGTCTCCGGGAGTCTCAAATGAGCTCTCTCTGTCCTGTTACGACTTCATCTGAAACGATGTTCCAGTGTGTTCCAGATCCATCTTGGATGGATCCATCCATCCCTGATGGATCCATGCATCCCTGAGCCGGCCCGCAAAGTCATGGACTCCACGACAACCCAGCATATCCAGATCCGGAGCATCAGAGTGGTGCTGCAAATGTGTGCGTTCTGGCCACAATCTCTGCAGACTTCAGCACGAATGTTTGGAGGCTGGGAGCCGACTTTCGCCAAGTGGCAGGGGCATGAGCAGGTATGTTCATCAAAGCACCCTAAAGGTGCATGCCTGGTGTTGTGTTGCGTAGAGCACAACAAGTGGGTGAACTTTGAGTACTTTAACCAACTTTAACCTGCCTTGCTTTTGCTGTTGCATCCCAAGCCCAAAACATAACCCTCTGAAGGTTATTTGATCACCCTATGCGTTCTTTTCGTGCATTCCATGTTGACAGCATCTCTAGCCACTTGACCCATTGCTGCCTTCAGGTGGGTGGTGAGATCGCAGGAGCCTGGGTGAGATCACAGGACGAGCAGAGACGCTGATGAATCCACCCCCCAACCCGCCAGGTCCTGGAGATCTAGATCCATCCTTCGTTATCCTTCGGACCCCGGGGCTTGGGGGGGAGCGACGCTTGGAGCAAGCAACATGAATCTGCCGTTTTTGCGCCCTTCAGACTCTGCGGATTGGGCCCAGCGCAATCTGCAACAGCTAAGGCTAAAGAAAACAAGCTTGGCGGTTGGGACAGCCAGCTCTTGAGATGATCTTTTTTCGGCGCGGTCAATTGTGTACAAACTGTCATCATGGAGATCTTGAGAATGCAGTATAATAATAATCATCCACATAGGATCTAGGTCTTGAACTAGTTAGTTCCCTCGAAAACAAAGCTGCTTCGCAAGCAACTCGTGCAAACTTCCTTGATGTTCTCCGGCTAGAATGCAACCAAAGGACGTGGCTAAGTCGGTCACCACGTTTTGCAAGGCATTCTCAGCCACTCCTCAGTGGCTCAAATCTGGGGAGCAACGACCATGTCTTCAACGTTCAAAACGACCTCAGAATGCAAGTTCTGAAGAACGTCGAAACAGAACAATATGTCCCAGAGTTCTGCAAGATGTAGGGTGTCTGCCACCATGAGATGGTGGAAGTATGAAGATGTATGAACACGTCGACCGTCATGTCTTCGGTCGACCTCCGCGTCGACCTGTCTTATGCAGCCAACGGTCTTTCCACATCAGCCTCTTGAGCCACTTGCAGGAGTCGGAGGGCCAGGTTTCCAAGGAGCTTTGCCTGTCAGTTGGTGCTCAAAAGAAATCCATTGAAATCCCATCTTACTGACATGTAAAATCAACTTGTTCATACTTTTTACTGAAGTTGAGAGCACACTTCTCTGTCCTTGTTCATGTCAACTCGATGGCGATGTTTCGGTGAATATATATAGCCTTCAGATTGCTCAGGGCCTTCTCTCAGCCAGGCCCTTTTTGGCCCTACAGTGTTTGCCATTCAGCCTTTCTTGCTGCGACTTGTCATGCGACTTGTCACGACTCTTTTTCCGATGACGAACCGACAGACTTCGGGGTCCCCGTCCCGAGCCCTCGAGGTACGTGCGGCGGAAAGGAGGGTGAGTGCCTCGAAGGAGTGCGGCGTGCTGATGTGTTGATGTTCAGAGGCACGACAGCCGTGTTGTAGGAGTAAACTGGGTGGACTCAGTGGACTCTATGGGCTATATTGGTTCATCTTGTATCAGTCACAGAAAAATCTGCCCAGCCCTGAGGGGTGCGTGGCCTCATTCTCTGGCCAATCATTGTCCCTCTGCTGCAATGCCTGCAGGTGTGGGGGCCAAACAGCCAACAACCTCATGTCATACAATCAAACGACCACCTTAAACATCCATCTTCTCGATGTCTTGACATTGTAATAAATTACTCACGATGATCAGACTAAGTGACTGCCAAGCAACCTGGTCTCGCTCTGTGATGTCTCCCTTCTTAGAAGCCATCAGGAGCCTCTTCCAAAGCTCGCCGCTGGCCATTGAACCACTCTGGTCCTGGAGAAATGGATTCCGTGCAGTCGAACATCGGGAGGTACGGAGGCTCTCCATGACATGGCCTTCATGGCTCCAGTGACTCCAGTCTGCTCCATGGAGCACAGCATCTGTGTGTAGGCATCAACATCACCCGATGCACCAACTGCCCAACACTGACCCTAAGGTTTCAATGAACTTCCTGAAAAGCTGATCATTTCAGGGCCCAACAATGGCCCAACCGATGCACCAACTGCCCATCCAGTCCAACCATGTGACCACGACCTCTCCACGCGACCAACGGCGATTCGACCCAACTGCTGGGACATGCCCGACCAACGGCCATGCCGGGCTTGACCGTTGGTGCCCTGGTGGAAGCAGACCGTTTGACGATCTGGAAGCAGGCTGGCCTTGGAGCTGTGATTTTCAGACTCCAAGTATCTCCTTTTAAGGAGGGTTGTCGACGCCACGGCGTTAGGTCGTGATATAGGTCCTCTCGCATGGGGAAGCCCAGCATGCAAAGCAGCAAGGAGGCAAGATCTTCAAGATCTTTGGAGACCTTCTCCTTCCGGCCGTGCACCGATGCCGGTAACTGCTATATGTCACCTTCGGCGAGGGTCGAACTGATGTCCTAAAGTTGGATTGCTGGAATTGGGGTGATTTGATGACAACCCCGAAGGAAATAGTGCTCACTGGCCTTTCAAAAACGATCAAAAGCCAAGATGTGCTTGAGGTTCTTAGTGTTCGTGGTATGTGTGACAGGAAAAGGTGCACCAAACAGAACGCAAAGGTTGTGTCAAACAGGTTGGAGATGGTTGGAGAATTTCTGCTATTTTCTGGCCACAATGCACTACTTCCTGAAACCTGCATCTCGAGAAGGCCAGCCGTAGTCCCAAAATGTTGGAAACATTGACTTTGGAGTCTCAGCAACAACCCTCTTTTGGAAGGGCAATTGGAAGCCCCACCAAACATGGAAACGTTAAGAAAGCTTCTCCACCTAAACCAGCTCTTCTTGGAGACTGGAAGGTACCCATCCTTCAATCATGACAAAACCGGCTCCTGGCACTGCAGGAGCCCCACGCCCACGAGCTGTAGTCGCCCTGCCCGAAGGCCCAAAGACTCTACCTCCAGGCGCCCAAAGGAGGCGCCCAAGGAGTGTAGCGTCCAAAGCCTCAAGGCTGGACCATGTGTCTCCATGCAGCACGGCCATGGGGTCCAACCAACAAAAGGCTTTTTCGGGATGTTTTTTCGGGATGTTCGGGTCAAACGATCCTTTTTCGGACTCCGGTTGATAGAGTTAGCTGGACATCCTGGAGCAGATCCCATGGTCAGCGAGCAAACCCTCAAGAAGAACCCGCAACACTCTTCGCTGGAAAGAGGGACTTGGGCTAGTTGGCTCGTTTCGTCATTGTGCTGCCCGGACCGCTCCAGGACGCCCCGAGAAGAGTGAGCGAGCGGAGACGCGATCGACGCAGAAGGTTGGGCTGAACTAGTTTGGAGCCGTCTACCCGGAGGTAGAACCACAACTTGGTGACCCAGTGGGTGTGCAGGGCTGAAGATTTCCCCTCTCCACCTTGCTCGTTTCCTGCGGGTCTCCCTATTCTGCACATGTACGATCCACCAAGTTGCCCGGGTAGCAGTGAAAAATCACCCACGCTCTGTGGTGAATCTACCAATTCCCACCCAAAAAAACGACTGCAAGCCGGTGTTCATTGAAAATGCCTACCTCCAATCTCCACCATCTCCTAAAATAGAGCTGTGCTTGCAGCGGCTTTTAAGGACGAAAAAAAAACACAAAATGCTTTGAGCTTTGATTGGTTCCATTTCGCTTCTGGCCCATGGGCAGCGTTGAGAGTGTGAGATTCCCTCCCAAAGCTGAAAGTAACTTCCTTCCAAACCTGTTTTTGTTCTGGGAGCGTCCGAGAAAATGCAGTGAAGCCCAATTCAAATCTAAAGCAATCAGTTGGGTAGAAGCAAAACCTGTAAGTCACTGAAGTCTGTATCAAAATGTGATGGATGAAGTTCTTCCAGCAAAACCTGCCAAAGCCACGCTGTGGCAGCGCCATGAGCCACCGCCAGCCGCTGCAGGTGGGACAGGAGTCCCAACTTCTCCAAGAGGAGATGATCTGGCTTGGTGTAGAAGAACCTCACTGCTTTCGGTCATCCCTCTGCTTCATGGTGGGAACCCAGACAAGTCTTTCCAGAACTTGGTTCAATCAATCATCAATCATCCACTGGGAAGCCATGGACATGTTTCACAGAGGCCATTCATTTCATTTGATGGGCCTCTTCTGCAAATGCAGCCTTGGCGTCATGTCAGTTCTTTCGTTGAGCACAGAAGCCCTGAAAAACCAGCTTAGGGCAATCTGGGGTGAAAGCCAGCTGCACCAAAAGAAAGCATTCAGTAGCCTCACCCAATGTCCAAACTCTGCCAGGAAGCACAGTGCTCTCTTGGCATCCCTGTGCAGCGAAAATGGATGTGTGACATTGATGTGAAGGTTGGTCGAGTCAAATCTTTGCTGCCAAAGAAAGGAATTGCACACGGAAAAAAGAATCAGACAAAAAATCCATGTCCAGTGTGCACTTGACAAGGGCTTGTTGAACCTTAGATATCCTGTCTATCTATCCATCAGACCGTTGTATGGTCGTGTCGTTTCGTCCTGTCTGCAGGTTCTGCCACATCGGACATGCCGACATCCGGTTCCACGTAGAATCAGAATACATCATGTTCAGATAAGGAGAGGGGGCCATGTCCAGTTATGTCCTAGTAGTAACGGAACTGTATCACGTCCTTCCTCTTGCTACTGGGATGACAGGGAAAGCGCACTGGCACCTACTGTAAATCCTCCGCAACGCGAGAGAAACAAGAGACGCGACGCTACAAGTCAAATCAATCAGATGCGGCAAGAAACAGATTATACAGACCCCCAAATAGATAGTGGCACGGTGTCCAAAACATTTTTAGTGGGGATCTACTTTTCGATCTATTTGGGGGTCTATATAAATGATGTCTAGAGTTTTCTTGCTCCAGGCGTGCAGAACTTCCTTCAAACCGATGCAGTTGCATTGCACGGACCCCTTGCTGTGCTGGTCTGCATGTGGCATCCTTCGGAATGGAACCTGTTCGCCTTCCTTCACCACTGCCGTGACCATCTGTCTTGCCATTGCGGACGAGATTCCGGTGGGCTTCGAGAGAACCTGGTCAGCGAAACTGATGGAAACCAACTGACAGAGAGTTTCAACAAAGATATTAATCAACAAGTTTATGGGTCAATGAATTTTTAATGAATCTTTGTCTACCAAACAATTGTCCTTTTGCGCAAACCTCTGTGTGTGTGCATGTATGTCTGTGCGTTTGGTTCCTACGCGTGCTACAATGAGCTTTATCTCTTGCATAATCCAAACATTTGGAGTAGCCAGCATACCTTAAAAATGTCAGGCCCCAGATTGCGTTGTCCGATTTCGCTATGTTATGGATAAAAAGCTGCATGAACCCAGGTTCATCTGCATCGAACATGCAAAGAAGACTTGTAGCAAAACCAAGCCAAAGATCCTACAAGTTCACAGTTTGCCTGCCCAAAGTCCCAGCCACCCTACCAGCTGTGAGGCGAACTTGCTCCTGTGGCACAAGAACTGTGCACGCATGACCTGCAGCTCAGGGTCAGGCGGATTATTTTCGGAGGGGAACGGAGAAAAAACATGTTCTTGGTGATTACAGCAGCACTGGCACCTATTCTTTCCGCCAGGCAGCAGCTAGCTATTCTATTCTTTCCACCCACCAGCGATGCTGGGCTCCGCTTCGTTCAAGCGCTCCAAGCGGTTTTCGTTCGGCCTCTTCCTGCGACCTTCGTCCGTCCAAGGCCACCACCTCCACAAAGCCTGCAGGACACAAGTCGACCGAGTCGAGGAACCGAGTCGACCGACCGACCTTTCGGTTCTTTTTCGTCGACCGGTTCGATGTGGTTCGTTTCATCGAAGTCGACCGACCCGATGTCCTCCACCCATGTCTGAGATAGATGAGATGTTTCGCCCGGTGGTTTGATCCTGCGGATCTTGAAACAGGACGCACAAAACGAGAAGTGTACAACTAGGTACACAAGACCACAGGCCGAAACGCCTGCGTGTTTGGCTCAAGAAAACAAAGACCGCTTTTCGTGAAGCATGGGTTATGAGCCCAAAGCGGTGACGCCATGACATCGTTGATGGCAAGGCGGCGATCCTCATCGAAGGAGCGGCAGCAGACCGTGGACGAGAGGCTCGATGAACTCTTAGCACAGCAGACTCCAGCACGTCGCACCCAAAGTGCGGAGCCGAGTGCAAGGCGACCGGCCTTGGTGAAGAGCACGAGACAGACGGTGACTGACAAGACCCCAGCTGGAGCGAACACGGAGCCCAGGGCGGCGATCATGGATGGTGGTCAACCACGACAGGAACCCCCTCCAGGAACGATGCTGGCTGGACTACTCCCTCCTCTACCTGGCGGAGCTCTTCTTGGTGGTGGACAATCTGGACTGGTGGATGCAGCTCAAGCCTTGACGCGAGAGCAGATTCCTGGATGGCCAATGCTCCAGGGACCGTATCCCCAGGGATATCCGGTGGTCTTCCATCCAGGGGGACGAGCAGATGATGTGGCAGATGCCTATCCTCCCGGGACGTCGTGAACGTGAGGGAGGGGAGTTGGCGGAAGGGGCTTCAGCTTCAAGGCTGGAACTATCTCCGGGAGATCGAGAACGCCAACGAGAGGAACATCAGCCTGGACATGCTCTTCGACCCGGTCGTGCACATGAACCCGCTGGTGAACTACCTGGACGTGAACTGGGGGTGGCTGGTGCCATGTCGAGGCAGCAATCGCCTATCAATCCTTGGTCTGCTGAGAAGATTAAGCAGACGATGAATCTCCCGCAGAGCCAAAGCCAAGAGGCGGGAGAAACCGTTGAACTTCTTCGCCAACGAGTTCTTCGTGATGCCGAACAGCGTTTTGCTGATGGTGTTCGACAGCTGCTGGGAGGAGGCAATCCGCCTTCCGATGCTTCGTTCAAGACGGCTGCGGAGAATGGAGGCGCAACACAAGGGGATGGGAAGCAGCAGGTGCCGGAAACCGGGGGACCACGGCAGCCTTCGGGGACTGGAACACAGGTGGCTTCATCCTCAATTATGACGACAAGTGGTGGTGTTCCTGTTCCTGGAGGCAATCTTCCTGGACCTGGACCCGTTCAAGGAACCGGACCTGGAGTATGTTTCCCTTGGCCATATCCCCCTGGAATTCAGCTTGGACCAGGTGGATGGGGTGCTATCGGGCTACCGCCCAATGGTGGTGGAGGTGGCGGAAACTATGGACCTGGCCTGGTTGGGGGTGCTCCTATGTATGGGGGCAGTGAGGAATCGGTCAATGAGACCTTTCGTAGTGTGGATCTACCTCCACTTCCTTCGGACGCCAATGCACTGTCCTTCGGTGATTGGTCAGCCACGATCCAGCCTTTGATCGCGGACGTGAGTGTGTCGGCGGAGGAATGGTGGGCTGTGACATTGAAGGGTGTTGATGAGCTGTATACCCAATGGTTGGCTTCGGATCCTCTTCAACGTCTTCGGTTGGACACTGGCACTTCATCGGCGGCTACAAGGTGGCCTAGGACCGAAAGGAGGATGACCAGTTTGTTGTTGCAGGCGGTCCCCGACAACATCAAGGCGGAGGCTGTGGCTGCTAGGAAGCTGAGCGTGACCCATTTGTTGTTCACGCTGTTCGTCAAGTTTCAACCTGGCGGACAAGGTGAGAGGGTCACTCTCATCCGGTTTTTGACGGAGCTCAAAACTACGGGCTCTATGGTTGAACTGGCGCAGAACCTGCGTCAATGGCGGAGATGGTGGAATCGGGCTCAAGAGTTGGCGGTGATGTTGCCAGACCCTGTCATCTTGGCGGGTGTTTTGACTCGGGCTTCGGACGCCATTGCCAAGTCTGGTGCGCAAGCTGCATACCGGTTGTCGGTGTGCAGGCAACAGTTGCAAATTGATACAAGACCCAACTTGGACTCCATCCAAACCTTCGCGGAGCTGCTGCAGGCTGAGACCGAAGAGCAGGCGTTGGGCGCTGGAGGAATTGGGGGAGCGGGAAAAACGACCGTTCCATTTGTGAAGGCAGCAGCTTTGGGGGCTTCATCAACGACGGCGACTTCGGCGACGGGAAATGCGCAGGAGTCCAAGGCCGCTGGGGCGGAGTTCAAGGGCGACTGTCGCTTTTGGTTGTCGGACAAGGGCTGTCGAAGAGGGGATCGATGCAAGTTCAAGCATGGCACCCTCAGCCCAAAGGAAAATCGGTGCTTCTTCTGTTCCGGCCTCAACCACACTCGGCGTGACTGTCCGTATGTGAAGAAGGAGTTCGGGAAGGAGGAGAATGTGAAGGTGGCTAAGGTGCTGGGGGAGGACTCACAGCCTTCTTCGCCGGAAAGAGAGCCACTCAAGGTGAAGGTTGAAGAGGCCACTGGAGCTTCGGGGAAAAAGACTGAGGCGGAAGCCGGTTCCGGAGTTGCAGGGGGTCCCATGCCGAACAAGTCGGACTCCATCGACACCTTGATGGGGGGAGGCATCGGCTTTGTTGAAGTCATTGCGGAGCGCCAAGGTCAAGGCCATCAAGCTCAAGTTCATGGACGGGGGTGGTAACTTGGACGCGGGCACCGCATTGGGGCTTTTGGATGGTGGTGCAACTCACCCCCTTCGTCAAGCTCTACCTGGTGAACTGGAAAAGGCTGAGAGGGTTCATGTGGAGTTGGCACATGGCTCAATCATGCTGCACCAAGACCCGGTGACGGGTACGTTGTTGTCGGCCGACGCGGTGGAGCCCATCGTGCCGGTCCGAGGGTTGATTGAGCTGGGCTACAAGATGGTGTGGTCCAGGAGTGGTTGTGCTGTGGAGCACCCCCGCAAGGGGAAGATCGTTTCCCGCCTTCGTGAAGGTTGTCCCGTGGTGCTGGAGGAAGATGCCCTGCTGCTCATCCGGGAAATCAAGGAGGTGGAGAGGAAAAAACATGATGATGTCTACCGGGAGGAGAACTTGGAGGAGGAGCTGCTGACGTGGTGGAGCCAACGCTTCCCCGAGGTTCCTGCCAGGATTTTCCGGTACATGACGGAGGAGCATGATTTTGGTGGTGGTGCTCTTCCATGGAATCGACGGCAGCGACGACGGCTGCTGACGGCTAAACGTGTGGTGCTTCATCTCTTCGCGGGGGAGAAGGCCGAAGAGTGGGAGGAGCTCAAAAAGTATGACTGCGAGGTCATCACCTTGGACATCATGCATAACAAGTCGCAGGACCTGCACAACCCGGTGTTGTGGGCTTTCTTGATGCGTTTGGCCAGGCAAGGAACTTTGGCAGCCATCATAGGTGGACCCCCATGCCGAACGGTGTCGAGGCTGCGATTTAGGCGACCAGGCCCAAGGCCACTTCGAGATCGAGGAGCGCATCGCTTCGGGTTACCGAACCTCAGCGTTGCAGAGCAGCGGTTGGCGGACCACGACGCGGCCCTCGTCATCAAGCAGGTTGGACTCTATCTGGCCACGGAAGAAGCCAAGGTGGAGGTGGGTGGACCAAAAGGAACTACGGGCTTCCTGTTGGAGTCTCCAGCGGACCCGGCCAAGATGGTGGGGGATGGTGGACGAATGCCGTCTTTCTGGAGTTGGCCGGAAGTTTTGGGTTTGTTGGAGGAGGAGTCCATGGGGATGGTCACTCTAGATCAGGGTGCCGTGGGGCATTCCAAAAAGAAACCGGCATCGCTGCTCACCAACATGCCGGGGATGATGGAACTACATGGACTTCGAGCACGAGGTGATGATGAACCCCTTCCTGATGACCTACAAGCCAGCATTCAGGCATCAAAGTCCTGGTCTTTGTGGGCACCTGGATTGAGAGCTGCGATTAAGGAGTCTCTCCGATGCATGTTGGAGCAGGGTGCAGCACAACAACGAAAGATAGCCAAGCTATCGCAAAAGGAAAAGGATATGGGGGCGACACACTTTCGCCAAGGACATCGACCCTTTCGCAGGGACTGCAGGCTTTGCGTTGAGCAGGCAGGAACCCAAAAGCCGCATCGACGTCGAGGGGACATCCAAAGAATGTCATCGGCGTGGTCAGTGGCGGTGGACATCGTGGGCCCGCTATCTATGACAAGGGATGGCGCTTCAGGGCGGGTTGTTCGCTATGCTATGATCGCGGTGGCATTGGTCCCGGACTTCAACGCGGTGGCGGAGGACGACGTGGCGGAGAAGGATGTTGCGGAGGAAACCGTGGCGGAGAAGGACGTGGCGGAGAAGGACGTCGCGGCGAAGGATGGGGCGGAGGATCAACGTGATGAAAAGGCTCCTACACCCAAGGAGGACTCTACGCCGGAAAAGGTGGTGGCACCAGAACCGGGGGAGGATGTGGGGGTGATGGAGGAGGAACAGGACATCATGGATCCAGCCCATGACTATGACTTTGAGGCGGAGCTCCAAAAGTGTCAACGTGGAGTTCCTTTGAAGCACGTGACACGCATGGAGGTGCTGGAATCCCGGGCCAAGGCTGAGGTGATTGTCGGCTTGCAGAAGTTGATCACCAAGTATAAGGCCATGGGGGTGGCGGTGAACCGCTTGCACACCGACAGGGCGAAGGAGCTCATCAGTAAACAGGTGGAGGCATGGTGCAGTCGATGGGGGATTGTACAAACGTCCACTGGAGGAGATGACCCTGCTGCCAACGGCCATGTAGAGGCTGAGGTGAACCAAGTCAAAAGGCGCGCAAGGCTACTGCTGGCGCAACATGAATGCGCAGGTCAACTCTGGCCATCGGCGATGAGGTACGCGGTGGAGGAGAGGCGAAGACGCCAGTTGGAGGAGCTTGGAGTTCCAACATTGCCTATGCTGCCATTCTATGCCACTGTGTATGTGAAGGCGAAGAAGTGGCATAAGGAGGGGGGGCTAATGGCACCATTTGTGAAGGGCAGACTGATGTGTCCAAGCCCCATGATGAACGATGGATGGGTGGTGCAGGCTGAGGATGGCAAGATCCTTCATGTTCGAGAAGCTGTACAACCGAACACTGAGGCGGAGGATCTACGTCGGGAACTTGAAGACCAACAAGCACAAGTCCGCCTACAGTTGGAGGAGGAGCCACGACCAGGCCAACCATACCATCGCATGTGGGGGAAACAGCCATTGGATGGACAACCACGCCTTCCTCAAGCTGGAGGACAACAGGGTGCGACTATGCCAACAGCGGGGGGGACTTCTTCTCCTTCTTCTTCGACAGCTTTGGGCACAGCTTCGGGCGCAGCAGGTCCTGGGGGAGTTGCTGGTGAGACTGCGGGAGCTGGAGGCGCGAGGCGCGGGGGAGCTGTGATATGGAGAGACGACCCTCTGGCCATTCCTATCTCGACTACATCGTCATCATCCAAAGGTGTGCGGACGTTGAGGGTTGAGACTGGGGACGAAGGAGCATTGGCCGCTGTTGACATCGAGCCGCACTACCAAGGGGCGAGGTGGTTGTCGGTGCAAGAGCTAGAGGACTCCTGGGGTGAGCAGCTTTTGGGGTGCATCAACCAAGTGCCGACCACGGAGGAGCAGGGGGCGGTGCAGGGTGAGTTGGTGAATCACCTTCTGGGCTGGCGAGATGAAGTTGAAGGTCAGTTGATGGAGCTGAGTCGGGTGGCCAAGGCCCTACAGATCCGACTATGTGCTCTTCAAGCTCAAGGTCAACAAGGTGGAGAAGGTGAACAGGTCCTGCAGACCATGACCGTCCCGCTCTCGGAGGTGCGGGAGAATGCGGACGCATGGAGGCCTTCGTTCCAGTATGAGTACGACGTGCTGGTCAAGGAGACTGAGGCGGTGGTCCCCACGAAGAGGCATTTGTTGGCGCCGGGCACGGAGCTGGTTCCGGGGAAGATGGTCTGTTGCAAGAAAGGGGGCACAGGAGCTAAGAGATCGAGGGCGGTGATCTGCGGCAACCTGGCTTCGGAGCAAGCTGATCCACTTCCTGGAGGTTTGCCTGGTGGCTCCTACGCAAGTGGGGCGGATGGGGTGCTCATTCGGGCATCGCTGTTGGAGGCCAGTCAACGTCGTTGGGAGATCACTTCGTTGGACGTGAAGTCCGCGTTTCTGCAAGCTCCTCGACCACATCAACCAGGGGGCAAGCCCGTGGCAGTTCAGCCGCCGAAGGTGATGGTGGACCTGGGAGTCTGTGAACCGGATGAGGTCTGGCTCATCAGAAAAGCACTCTACGGGTTCAATACGAGTCCATCGTATTGGGCGATCTACAGGGATCAGGTCCTGGAGGAGCTGACGTGGGAGGACAACAACGTCGCCTACCACCTGATCCAGACCAAGGAGCGCAACTTGTGGCGCATTGTGGAGAAGGAGACGCAGGTGGTCAGAGGCCTTCTCTTGGTGTACGTCGACGACCTTCTCGTGATGGGAGATGCAGTGGCACGACCTGGTCTTCTCAAGTGCATCCAGTCCCGGTGGAAAACGTCCACGCCCGAGACGGTGGATGACCAGGGTTGGGTGAGGTTTTGTGGGTACGAGCTCAAAAGCCATGAAGGAGGTTTGTTGTTAGGTCAACCCTCCTACCTGGGTGAGTTGCTGCAGAGGCACAACATCGTGGACAAGAAGACGGTTCCACTGCCAAAGGACGCGGTACCTCCTCCAGAGGTGGAAGAAGGGGTGACGGCGGAGGAGATCAAGAAGGCGCAGGGCATCGTGGGGGAGATCCTGTGGGTGGCCATTCGCAGTCGGCCTGACCTGTCCTATGCCATCAGCGCTATGGGAAAAGAGGTCACAAAACGGCCGAGATGGGTGCTTCGGGTGGGACAACATGTTCTGGAGTACTTGAATGGCACGATGGACTACTTCCTGCACTATGTTCCCTGTGGACCTGGTGATCGTGGACCTCATGGTGATCTTCCTCTGGAGCGCTCTACATCGTTGGTGGAGCTCTTCAGTGACATTTCGTATGCCCCGCAAGGGGAGAAAAGTGTGCAAGGCATCGTGGCGATGATTGCGGGCGCCACTGTGCAGTGGGAAACTTCCAGGCAATCGTGCCTGGCATTGTCAACGGCGGAAGCGGAGCTGTACTCCTACGTGGAGGCCTTAACTATGGGGGATTCGCTGCAGGCGCTGTGGACGGAGGTGCATGGAGAGACGCCGGAGATCGTCACCTATGGCGACAGTCAGGCTGCCATCTCCATCGTGCGCAATCCGGATGGTCCATGGCGTACCAGACACCTTCGACTCCGAGCTAACGTGCTTCGAGAACGAGCTCAACAGGGGCGATGGAAGATCTTCCACATGGCGGGCACGCAGCTGATCGCCGACTACCTGACCGAGAGCATCACGGTTCGAGCTTCCTGGGACCGCTTCCGGGCGTTCACCAACCTCCTGAAGGTCGGGAACCTGGGTGGGGTGGCTGCGGATGATGGGGAGGGTTCGCAGGATGCGGTGGAATCCATGGTGCGGGTGGCGAAGCTTGCTGCATGTTTGGCTGGGTGCGCGGCTATGACCTGGCCTTCCTACACTGCAAAGGCGGCGGTGGCAGCGGCGCTTGCGATTGGGCTGGCCTATGAAGTGAGCCGGGGTTTTAGCAAGGGTTTTTGGACGAGGAGCCAAGATCCGGGGGAGTGTTCAACCATGTCAGATAGGGAAATTCAACAAGAATTGAGATCTACTGAACACTCCACCCGGCTGCAACCTCGTTTGTGTGCCCTGCGGCCTTCGCCGGCAAGGGAAGAACAAGACCAACAGGGGTCAGAACAACGGACCAGTCAAGAAAACATAAGAAATGTTCAAGAGGCCAGAAACTCATCGGCGTCGGGCCGCACGCCACCTCCAGGGGAACGTGTCTCGGAAACTGAAGGCGCTGGGGGTTTAGACCGTAGCCTAGAGGCTCCCAACTCCACTGTGTTCGAGGTGGAGGCGGCGAACGCGAGCCATGGCGTGTGGGGGCGCATCCAGATGAGGCTGCCTGCTGTCTTCCGAGGTGGACGCGAATGGCTTGGAGGAGATGCAGGGCAGCCGGAAGAGGTGCACTACACGAACACCAGGGTGACGCAAGAGGCCATGGACACGGGCACCTACGACATGACAAGACCGCCGATGGTGGTCACCAGTGAGGGCATCCGGACGTTGCGGCCAGAAGAGGTGGACATGGAGACCCAGACGATTCGCCTGATCCCAAATGAACGGCTGGTGGTGAAATCTCCGCCACCTGCAAAGAGGCCTCCGGTGCCCCCTCCTAAACAACCTCCTGTACCCTTTCAACCGCGTGGCTATGGGGGGCTACATCAAGTGGTTCTTCAAGGCCGAGTGAAGCTGCTGAGCGAGGGCAGGCGGCGATGGCATCCTCAAAGGCGATGGGCACTGCCATGGGACACACTTCAAAGGCAGCGGAAACCACTCTCCAAGGAGTTTCTAAGTCGGCAGCTGCGGCGAGGAGTTCGAGCTCGACGGGACCCCCTACGCTGGAGCGAATGCGGCAGCCGGCAACTGACAGGCCGTGGAACAGGCCTGGTAAGGCTCCACCGGCGCAGCTTTTGATGCCGGTTGGGGGCTTGATGGATGATCAGTTGGAGTTCCAAAACTCGGTGTTTTGGACGCCTGAGATCCTGAATGACATTCAGGATTTGATCGAGGAAGAAGCGTTGTTCTACAAGCCAACGCTCAAGAGTGATCGATGGGATCACTTGACCATGGATGGCTGCAGATGGTTGGTCCGCTACCATGGAAGTGCGCGGGTGCAGAGGTTTCATCCTGAGCATCGCAGCTGTCCTGAGGAGATTGATGACTTGGAGTTTATGAGAGTCACCGTCGCTTGGAAAGGCAGCGAGTGGCATCGAAGAGTGGTCGTGGACTGCGATTGGCGACGAGCAGAACTGAGCGGGCCGGGAACATGGGTCGGTTTTTCGCTCTTCCTCATGCGAGAGGGCATGAGGCGACTTTGATGTGACGTCCGAAAGCGGACGGGGGGAGTGCGGATCTTGAAACAGGACGCACAAAACGAGAAGTGTACAACTAGGTACACAAGACCACAGGCCGAAACGCCTGCGTGTTTGGCTCAAGAAAACAAAGACCGCTTTTCGTGAAGCATGGATCCAAATAGATGGTGTGGTGGTTTTGTTTTGGATGTGCTTTGTTCAAGGGAGAATCAAGACGAACAAGCCCGGATCACCATTCAATGGCCTTTCAAACATGCCGAATTGCCAGGTTCGTTTTGACAAACTTTCGGAATGGATCTATGATCTGTCGATGTTGTCCATTGTCCTTGCTGGTTCTGGGGGGATTGGAAGTGGAAAATCGATCCTGTTATCCTGTTGCCACAAATGAATTCGGCACATCAGGAGCCGAAGCGCCTTCTAGTGCATGTGGGCAAGGCAGTGACCTTGGTCTTGATTTCCAGGGCACTTCCAGACAAAGCGTCGGTCCAAGTTCATGTCGCCTCATGCAGATGGTCGAGTGTGAACTGCCCGCTTTTTGACGAAATCAAGGTGGTAAGGTGGTTCTGCTTTCCCTGCAAATTGTTCTTGTGTGGAAGGTACAAGTACCGGCCAAAAGACACAGGACTTGACACGAACATGCGCAAACCGTGGCGTGAAAGCACTTGACTGATCTTCTGGATCGTTTCATCCGAATCCATCCGAATCCCATCCTCCCCCATCGCCACACCTGCAGGTTCCCCCCTCCTCTACCCCTTGGCCTGCGTGGGGCAGACCTGGGCAGCTTGAAGGACCTATATTGATAAGTATATACTGTAAATGTATATAAACAGTTTCTCTCTCAAAGCAATTACATAAGCCATCTGGCGGGGCTTGCAGTAACAGGCCTTGAGCAGTTCAATTGGACTCCTAAGACCCATCTTCGTGAGAGGATGTTGGGGGTGCTCAAAAAAAGTGTTGTTTTGAATATAGCTCTGTTTTTTCGGGACCGGAGGATGATGGCTTCCACCGGGCCACCAGCTTCGCATCAGCGCAGGTAGCGCTGCTTGTGCGCTGCTTCCAGCTGCCGTCTGCGCTCGGCGAAGGGATGGCGCGTCCATGGCTTCGTGACAGTTCTGCAGTTTGGGTCACTTCACTCTGCAAGTTCGCAATCTAGACAGTGGTTAGGTACCTCCATGTAGCTTGGTTCCCTGTTGAAAGGCAAATATGGATACCTCCACCTCCTTAGCTCTCTCCTAACCAACAGCTAACAATAGCCCTGTCTAGGTGTAGAGGAACCAGCCGTTCCATGGTGTGATGAAAATGGAATTGTCTCATGGAATCATAGGGAGCCTGTTGGCTTTAATTAATTCTTGAACATGTAGGGGTCTGAAATGGAAGCATCCACTGGCCATGCATGTGTACAGTGCACCTGCATGTCTACACTACAGACAGTGCGATTCTGTTGTTTTGCTCGTAAACCAAAGGCAGAGCAGAGTTCGTAGGCAGGATTGTCTGTCGGTTCTCTTTCTTTTTCACTACCGCTATGAGCGAGTCCTTCGTCTCGCTCACTATAACAAAAGGCTGTCCTTTCTTCCATTTCTCTTGCTTACCTATACTACAACAGGAGGCTGTCCTTTCTTTGACTTACTTATATAATCTATACTTAGTATACTACCGAGCGATTCATCTGTCTCGCTCGCCGATTGGAGACACGCATTTGGGATTTGGAGGATGTGCAATTTGATGCTTTGCATCTCGTATATACCATGGAAACTTTGGAATTGAAACTTTGACCTTTGTATGTTTGGGTGTTGGGATTTGTTTCCTCAGGCCTCTTTCATAATTATTGAGGTTTCCATGTGGCATGGGGCTTTTTAGATCGTACGAACTCTATTCCGAACTCTGCCAAAGCTATGTGCGGCAAAGCCTCCGCGTGAGGTGAGCTTCCGTGAAAAGCCCGGTGTTTGGCCCGAAAAAGACCTAGAGCCTTAGGGCCTCTGGCGAGGTTGAGCCCGGTTCTTCGATGCAACGAGGATCTGACTCTGGTCGCCAATCCCTTTTGCTTCGAAACGAACGAAGCACCACGTGGTCACACAGGACCACGTCGTCCGTCCGGAGGTCTGGAGCATCCGGGTGGTGGGCCCAGAAAATCGGGGAGAAGACCGGCCAACATGGTGTGTAATCTCTGGGCCAATCGCTCGTGCAGGTTCTGGTTCTGTTCAAGTTCTGGTTCCATTGGCCGGTTCAATCTCTCATTTTGGCTTCGTGATGATCTTGACCGTGGGCACCAACATTCCCCGCTCTGACCCAAGACTCTCGCATCCTGAGGTCCAGACCTTCCCACTTCCCATAGTATTTTTCTGGTACCTCCATCAGATCAAATCCATCAGATCTCTCTGGAGTTTTTTTCAGAAAAGAATGTGTCCAACTGCTTGACACAACTGGCCTAGTTGCATCAAGTCCCACAAGCTGTTGGCGCATCCAAACTGATCCAATTCCACCCAAACTCACAATTCGCGGCCTGTATCTCCATTCTGAATTCTGAGTTTCTCATGTCCATTGCATGCAAAAGATCCCAGGAGTCCAAAACCTCCTGATGTTCCTCCATTTTTTTGGGGTATAATAAGCTAATGTCTACAGGTAGGAATGGCAGTCCTCGTGCGGTTCGATTAAGGAGAGCTTCCTCGTGAAAGGAATGGTCAACTTAGACCCAAAAAGCCTGTAGGGCAAGACCACAGCTACGCCGCTACGCCGAACCTCACTCCCGAAAACGAACAGAGGACCGACCCCCCCTGCAAAAATGGTTTTCCTCTACCAGCAAAGGGGGTGTTTTCAGGGTCCAGGTTAGTCTTCCAGGCTGTAGACGATGTTTCAGGGCCCCTTCCACTGGTGGGTCCACTGGACCCGTCGCCCCGCCCCAGATCCTCTCGACTCAACATGGCTGTCATGGCACCGAGCGGACCCTGGTAGGTTGAGCTCCCGTAATTAGGTCGTGTAATGATGCTGCTTCATTCTTTCGGTGGTCAACCATTGGCTCCTCTGGTTCGGACCCTCAATCCATATCACGTGGCTCCACATCCTGGACATCTCTGGGCATCGTCACGTGGCTCCGTTCGACATTCCTCAGGACGGCGGGACGCTTCTGCTTCTCCCACGGCACAGGCGGCGGTGGAGTGCTCGTTCGGGTCCAGAAAAATCGATTGAAAAACCAGTGGAGTCCCAGTATCTCATAGCTCTGATGCTGGAGCCCCTCGTTCAAAGGCGGAGCTGCCTTGTGTCTGGCTTCAGCTTGGCTCAATGAATTATCTCTTTGTGTGCGTAAATCCTTGGAAAAGCAGTCACGTGCCCCCCTATTCCCGAAATTGAAGCTTCAACTTCACTGTGAACAGTTACTCCATCCCGTCTGGTTTCCGCAACCGTTTTGGATGCTGCAAAGAACCAATGTTGTGGAGCTATAGCTCCAAGATCGAAGGAATAAGATGCTCGATTCTTCTGCCCCGTTGCACTGCTTCAGTCATGTTGATTGGTTGCTTTCACGCAAACTGCACTACTTCATGGTCTTCTTGTGGTGTCCATATCGCTTTCATCCACCTCTGGTACCTCACAGCTCTGATGGCGTTTCCGTGGCGTTGCTGGGAAAGAACGACGTCACAGGGACCCCACCGCCTTTTTCCTGTTTGATCCATTGTGTTTCGGATGGCCAAACCATGGGTTTTAGAGCCACCAATGATCAACTCCTGGGCGGCTTGGCCACCAAGAGTTAAGCCCCCCCGCACCAAAACCCTTCCACACGTCATAGTCCCATCCCGAGCGTCACGTTCCATCTGGAGTTCTCGTCTGTATTGGGAGAAGCGCTTCCCATTTGGAAGGCCTCGGCTTTAGCCCGCCGAAACCGACGAAACCGGCGTTCCCCTCACGTCGGGTAGGCCCGGCGCGCACGCTTCGAAGCGGCCGCCGATGTCGGTTGGGCAGCTGACGGGGAGAGGTTTGGGCTGTCGACCACCCGATCCTGTCGGGTGAACGATGCGATGCTCTGAATCCATCCGAATCCATCCTGTCTACCGATGGTCCTCGGATGGGTCGTCCAGACCTTTGGTGATCTGCATGGAAATGTCCATGAGAGTGGACCTGGACAAGCCATGGTCCTTGCGAATTGCCACCCAGTAAAGCCAACATGGAAATGCCTGTTATCTCTCGAAGGAAGTAGACAAGAGTGGATCCGGCAACCCCATCGGGTCGCAGGTCATCCACTTGGAGCCTTGGACCAACTTCGTTTTTGGGCGTCGATGCCCTTTTCCGCTGGGCTGCTTTTCTCAGGGCCCGCAAAAACTCGTGCGTGGAATGCGCGGAAGTTGGTGGAGGGAATACGTCTTCCCAAGACCCTTGTGAAACCGGTGCTGCAGTATGTTGGGTGACGAAGTAGAAAAGCCCAGCTCCCTGAAAGCATCGAGCGTTCAGGAACCAACGATAGGACGCTGCTTAAGCAGCTGAGAGGCCTTGGAGGCCGAAAAGATCCAAAACGTTGCGGATGTTGCGGCAGAAGAACCAAAAAAAATGTCAGACTCCTGGTTTCTCCCACATGAACGTGCCAAGCTGCGACCAAAAGCAGCTTCCATATCGCCATCATGATGTCCGTCTGACAGGAGAAATCCATGGTCTCACTCTCTCAGGCTTGTGTTTGTGTACACTGTGTATGTTAGTCTATCAGCTTTTCAGAGCTGTTTGGGACTCTGGCGCTCCGCGGTCGCGCAGACCGCGGTCGCGCCAGGGCGCGGTCGCGCCACGGCGCGGTCGCAGTGACCCTCGCCTCCGAGTTTCTGTATGAGACGGATGTTGAGGAGATATAGCTCCTGGGGCCCACTTTCGACCCCCGAAGCGACGAAGCCCCTTTCGCGTCCAAAAGAACTGGGCAGAGGAAAAGGATAGCAAAAAGGCACCGCAGCGGGCCTCTAAAAAACCCCTGGCTCGAGCCATGAGTCTCGTTTTCAAGATGTGTTCATGATGAAAACCATCCCTCCGCAGCAGAGAGGTCATGTCAAATCTCACATCTCAGCAGAGGGTCTTTCGAAACCTCTAGGACCATCGATGTCACAAGGTCTCATGTCACATGTCGGGTCTCGGGTCTTTCGTGGGTGGTGAACGACTCGACCTACCTGGCCTGGCCCCTCTCTGGCGCCCCCCTCTCCTGCCCTCGTTCTTGGCCAGTCGTCCAAGGACGAGCCGTGCAAAATCAAAGCAATGTGAATTCCATGCTTAAGCCGAGCTGCACATGATCGATAGGTTTGTTGGGAAGGAAGAAGGCAAAGGATTTGTTAAAGAAATAGAAGTGCCACAATCACGAGAAACACCCAAGACTTGGTCGCCATCTGCCAGTTACAAATAAAGCATGACCAATCTTCCAGCAGCCAGCGCTGCATGCAACTGCCGTTTCGCTAGATTTAGCTAGGTGAGGCCAAGGGCTTCGAGTGGAGCGGAGCTCCTTCCGTCACATGTCTCAATGGCCGAACCCAGTCCAAAGCTGCACACGCCAGCCAGAGCCCAACCCACCCGAAGAACCTTGACCCGCTTTGAAAGAAGCAGGGCGCAGCATGTGCTAGGCCCAAGTGACCCTTTAGAGGCCCAACTCACCCACCAGCGCTGGGTCTTGTGCTTGCAGGTCATCATTCTCTGCTTTCTCTGCTAATCTGCAGGTGCAGGATCGAGCCGTGTTCGACAGCTTAGAGGGATGATGATGAGAATCAATCTTGGGGCGCAAGGGGCAACATGTTGGAGATGCTGTGAAGATGTAGAAACGTACTATGTACATCTATGTACTGGTGTACTGAATCTTCACAACCCTCCTGTTAGCTCGTTTTCCTGCCACTTCCACCATGCAGGGCTGCAGGGCTGCAGGGCTCGTTTCAAAAGCATCGCCCTCCTGTTGAGGGCTCTGGGAGCTGAGCCCTGCTGCCAGGAGACGTCTCGTCACGTTGACAGCTCTTGTCAGGGAAGTCCTGGATGTCTTTTTCACAGCGACCGAGTGAGTTTCACAGGTTGTCTTTTTCACAGCGACCGAGTGAGTTTCACAGGTTGAAGGGAATCAAAGGAATATTCCTGTAGGTTGTATTTCCATTAGAAGTTCACAAAAGGAATATTCCTGAAGTTCACAAAAGGTTGTGTGTTGGATGTCCTTTTGTTTTTCGATGTTGTTTGTTGAAATCTTTTGATTGAACATCTTAACTCATGGTTTTGTTTTTAGAATGCAACAGGGTGGTAGACATGGAGTGTCCCGAATCACCTCTTTTCGATTCTTTTCGGGGAGAGAAAATGGACCGTCCACCATTTCGACTCGAAATTTGGGTGGAGCACATGTGCTACCACCACCACCACCACCACCAGAAGTATCCATTTCATGTGCTAGCCAGGAGCTCTTGTTTCCCGTTACAGCTCTTGTTGACACATCTCCGAGAGCGACAAAGGCCAAGGCCATGGATGTCTGTTTGGTTGACCCGATGGGTGGACCGCCGGAAGCCTAGAGTGGTCGGGTCTATGGTGGTCATCAAATAGATAGAAGTTCGTAGATTCCCACTCAAAATGTATTGGAAAGCGTGCCACGATCTATTTGGTGGTCTAAATAAAACATTCTGGATGTGATTCTTCAACCCTGATGTGTCTGAACCCCAAAAAGTTCTCATTCCTCTCGTGGGTATCCGCCAGGCATGTTCCAGATGCATGATGGCAAGCACTGGTTAAAAACAGTTTGCAAACCTTTCCTGAGATGTCCAGCTCGTGAAAGGAGTCATCCTGTGGAACACCTAGGCGCAGCAGAATGTGTTCTACAGGAGATGTCAACTAGCTGCAACTAGCTAGTGGTTAGAGAACCCAATAGCCGGGGATTATGAAAGCATCCAGCTCCTTGGTTCCTTCCTAACCATCAGCGTTCGACAATGTCCCATGCCACACATCCTCTGAACCTGAGGGTGCGTTCGGTGTCGGCCCAATCACATCCGACCTGCGACATATCAGCTTCAGCCTCATCAGCCTGGAAAAATGGGAGCCCCACTGCCATCTTCTTCTGCCTCAGCCTGGGCCGGACCACTCAACAGGATTTTCCTCAACAGACGTCAATTGGTCAGATAGTCCGTGGGACCCAGGCTAAGTCCGTGGGACCCAGGTGCAGGGCCACTGAGGAGGTCTGGAACGCGCCCGCGGACCAAAACGGAAGGGGCGCAGAAGACCGGACCAAAGACCGGTGCTTTCTGCTCTTGCATACCAACGCACGCTCTTCAAACATCGATTGTTTTTTAGGTTGTTTAGCGTTTTTTGACCAATGCGTGAAGTTCTATACTTTTATCTTTTAGACATGCTCGTATGGGTACCCCTTCCTTCAAGATGGCTCAAAATGGCCCCATGGTGCGAGTTATGCAGCACAAAATGTTTTGCGCTGTTGGCATTTTATGTTTCTGGTTCTGTTTCTGGTCAAAGCAACAACAACAACAACAACAACAACAACAACCACCACCACCACCACCACCTGCCACTGGCCCGCTGCTGGCCCGCTCTTGGGCGTAAGCCCATAAAATATGACGAGTCATGTTTGACAGCTTGGTGGCTTGAACCACATTTCATTTTGGCTGTTTCTTTTTCCAGTCCCTACTTGTTTTTCCCATGATTGATTGAGACTTCTTGGATGCAATTTGGTAGTCTCTGGAAAAGGAAAGGCTGTTCCAGAAGCATACATCCCACAACTGAAGCTTGCATCTTCCTGCAAAGTGGTCTTGGGTAGACATTCATCCCAAGCTTGTATCCAGTCTTAGACCTTCTGACCCTTCTGACGCCAAGTCTTGGACCTCATCATCCCACAGCGTGGCGTTCACCTGACCGTTGAGAGCACGGCCCGACGCATCGAGTCATCGAAATCGAGACTCGATCGACGGATCCACGGACTTTCTGAGATTGCATGGCTCCACCTCCTCCACCCTTTTCGCGAGCCAAAGATGAGGCCCAGCAACCAGGCAACCCCGCACCAAGCGCTCCCATTGCCTTGCCACCATTGATGTGAAGCACCACGGGACCACCATCGGTGGGCACCTGTTTGCCCGCTCGTCGATTGGGGCAGGGCAGGCCGGGTTTTTTCAACCCTGCCAGTTCAGTGGAAGGAATTAGGACCATTAGGAAAAGAATCACCAGCGGTCACCAGCGATTCAAGTGATGTTCAGCGTCGATTGAGTCGTGGACGACTTCGAGTCCTCTTCGTCCTTCTTTGATCCCAATCTACTCCTACGAGTCAAAGAATCCACCGCAAAAATGTGCTACAGCTCTCCTGATATCAACAAAGAGTTTTGCTCCAAAACGACTGGACAATCTATTCCCCTCGCGGCAGACCTGTTAGATCAAGAACATCGCACACGAGGTGGCTGACGCGAACTTTTTGGACGACCAGCTCTGGATTCATTATAGATTTGGAAAACTTGGGGAGTTCTTGTGATGTTGCACAAGTCCAAAACAGGAGAATCCTCCTGTACCACCACCTGAGAGTCTTTTTCCACCAGGCTATTCTCCATGCTTTGGTGGTTCGAGGTCATGTAGGAGATCTTCCATAGTGTGCGTGTGCATGTGTACTATACATGCTAATTTCGAGCATTGATGAATGTCCACCAAGAGAACTCATCAACTCCAGAACATGGATCAAACCCTTCCGTTGCTTGCTGCGAATTCAGTGCAGAATCGTGTCACCGCACTGCATCGAGCATCTCGGCCACGGGGGAAACCTCCGCTTCGCTCACAACAGCGGAAGAATTCGGTCTTGGTGCCCAAACCACCACGTTGCACTGTTCGAGCGGCCAGCCACCTTGAGCAGAAAGGCAGTGGTAGAAATGGTATGAGAATGTATGAGATTGATATGGGACGTTGGAAAAGAACACATCTGCGACATCGGAGCTCCAAACATCAACCTCATACCGTCAACCATCTCAGGTAGTGCACGACTTCTGAGTCATTTAGAGTGTCCCCATGTTGAGACAAACGCACTCCAAAAATCAATAAAACCCTTCACCAGCCGGAAAAAATGTGAACAAAGTCGATCAGGTATCGGTTCCACAACTGTATATATACATATATTATATATATAAAGAGCAGCTGCAACCTGATCCAGAAACTCCTCATCCTCTGTTCGCCTTTGCATAGCCTCGCATTTGTGCACCATCCAGGCTGGCGTTTACTGTAATTACTAGGCCCCATCCATCTGCGGCAGAAATTGGGTGCTTCCTTGAAAATCGAAGTATCTCATCAGCAGGAGAGGACCAGGTCCAGGAGAGGACCAGTCAGGTTCCAGGAGAGGCACCAGGGGAGGACCTTGGACACCGAGCTCAGGGAGATCTCTTCTCCCGCGGGCGCTTGCCGAACTGCACCAGCCTCGCAGCAGTTCGAGGAAGGGGGGAAAGGCGGGAAATATGCGAAAAGCCTGGTCGAACAAAGCCATGAAAAACCATAAACAATGGGAATTCACCCGGGCAAGTGGTGTGTTCTATATAATTGTGTCAAATGTTTGCACCACACAGCATCTACAAAAAGCAAGGCAGCAACTTCATACAGACCAACTGTGTCAACAAGCCACATTCACACAAAAACCTCCAACTGCTTTGGACGACCAAGGTGGGGTCATGCTTTCTTGAGCCTCATCTTTTGATGTGGATTGTTGATTGCGCACGACTGAAAATTAGCTTTTTGGGTGATTCTCATACGCCGCAAATCCTCCTTTGCGACTCTTGTGTTTGACGCAGCCTGCATGACCACGCCTCCTGCGCAAAAGTGTATGAGATGGTCATGCTTCGAGGAAACCCGAGTGCCCGGATCACCAAACAAAGTATCCTTGTCTGGTCAGTCCACTGCAAAACTGCTTGCGGGCCTGATCCTGCACACTCCACCCACGAAGCTTCAAGTCAACCTGTGACAAAGCCGGGATGACGTATGATGACATCGCATGATGAGCTTCCACCTGTCTCAATGCTTCCTTCCTGTTACACCCGTCCCTGTCTCTTCCCATCTCTGAGTCTAACTGCCTCATTCAGCGTCAAAGACGCCGTCGCCAGAGGCTCTAAGACGTCGCACCAACCTTCCTGCGCCGTTCAGCGGCGCCGGACCTGTCGGTGGGTTTGGTGGGGCCCGGTGTAGATGTCCGGTTACGGGAACAGTCCGGAGGGGTCAAGAGAGCCAGGTAGTAATACACTGGGATTCCAACCACCATGCATTTGTTGGTCATCAGCTACTGGGACTGGACCAGTACCGGACCAGTGAGACCGATTCCAACGGCCTCCAAGCCTTTGTTGGAGGCCTCCAGGCCTCCATCCCAATAGGGACAATGGAAAACACCGTGGTACAGTAGTTCCAGACACTACAGGAGCAGAGGCAGCTCTGCAGCCCTTGCAGCTCTGCTCGCTGTTTCGTCCGATTCCTCCTGTCCTTCACATCGAGACCTGTGAGGGAAAGCCCGCATTTGCAGCGCTCGATATGGGTGCCCTGGCGGGCAGGAGAAACGGGGTCCAAATCGATGCGGAGAGGTGTGGTTTTATATGGTGTTATCCATAGTTGTTGGTCCTAATGGATGCGGAGAGGTTTGGTTTTATCTGTTGATTTGTTTGACTTGTTACTTGTTGATCAAGTCTTCTAGGGGAGGCATCTTGCACCCCATGGCGCGGCAAAGAACTTCTTTTTGGAAGAAGCAAGGACACGGCTAGGCAAGACTGATGTTGGCCATGCAAAGCTTGAAATGGCAGTGTGGTTTTGTCTGGGCTTTCATCTGTACTGTAGTCGTCCCGTTGCAAGCAGAATACGAAAGGCACAACAAAAACATGACCATGCTTCTTGCTGATGCCTGGATGCCCCCCCATCTTCTCCTGCATTTGAAGGTGCTTTTGCCAACACCTTCCTTGCCTCCAATAACGCCGCGGCCGCACCAGCCACAGAGATTCCCACCTCTCGATCAAGCCAGAGATTAGATACTGGCACCATTTGGGGGGGTATTTGCAAACAATGTTTTTGGGCGGTTTTCAAAGGCTTGTCATACTGTGGTGGGAAGTATAGATGTTCAGTCTGTCCAATAAACAGGAGGTCCAACGCCTGCTGTTGAGACATCCCCAACCATGTCCAGTACAACTAGCTGGATCTCACAAAAGTAAAGGGCAGGACATCACAAGTCCTACGAGCTCCTCAGAACAAATGAATCTCATATCTTCAGTTAAGCTGGAAAACCCACAGAACGTGCCTTCGGCGGCGAGCATTTTTCTATGCACATTCATAGCTCAGACCCTGAGGTTTCAGAAATTACCAGCTTTCTACGCAAAAAGAAATACTGCAAAAAAGAAAAGGAACACGAGACTCGGACAAGTTGAGCCTCACAATCTCTGACCACGCAGCGCAGCACTCGTACGTCACGGTGTGAAGCTACTTCGATGCCTGGGCTCGGACGCGTATCTATCGGACGCGGTATGCGGCACTGGTACGTCAGGTCTTACTCACATGGAAACACAGGGGAGGAAGGTACATAGTGGAAGGATGTGGACAAGATGGGAGCAGCATGGGATGCAGCCCCTGCTTGCTCAACTTACAATGGCTATGTCAACTATGTGAACCTCACTGAGACCCAGTGCCTTTTCACACAGCAAAGGCGAGTTTACGACAATTCTTCCTGCGGGTAAGCAGGGAAAAGTCAGTATATAAAGTCATTGATGCAAATCAATGGAATCTGTGACCGCGATGAGACAGCGGCTGACCCTTGAAATCATCGCAAAACTTGGGTGCATCAAAGTGACTCCACAATTTGAAGATCGTCTTTCTATGTCTTCCGTAAACCAATCAAGGCCATTTTCCATGTGTTCATTTCCATCTGAATTATACGTGGCTTCAAAGCCCCACATCAAAGGCTTCATCATCGCCCCCGGCGGCCTATGCCCATGCCAGCCGTGTCCACCTGAGGAGGAGAAACCATCCATTGTTGGAGGACGCCCCATTGTTGAGTCTTCTCACCAGGAAAATTGATCACTGTTTTCATTCACCACACTTTCCTGGATGAACGAATTGGTAGAGGCCAAAAAGCACCCGACTCACGGAAGAGTTTGTTTCCTCACTGAAAAGCATTCGGAGCACTGTCGATCGAAGTGACGTGGCGACCAGCCCAGGCTCTGTGATTCTTGGGCCACATCATCCCACCAAAAGTGACACCCCCCCTCGCCACCCTTCAGCCACCTCGCCATCCTTCGGTCACCTGGTCACCTCCACTCCACTCCACCCTCCTCCACTCCACCCGGTGTCACCTCACATCGCTCCACACTGCAGCCACCGGCCAACAGCAGGGCGCAACCGCCGTGGGCCACGCGGAGACGCAGCCGGCTGAGCCTCGTCCGGCGACGGGAGAGACAGGCGATTGGAAGGGAAAGAGGAGCCAAAGGGCTGAGCAATCCGCCCAAAAAGGGCCGAGCATCTCAGCCAAAGGGTGTGACCAGTCGCGGAAAAGACCTCAAAAGACTAAAAAAGCAAGCTGGACAATAATCATAATAGACCTGTTTTAGCGCAGAAAATGCTAGGTTGAGCGAATGATAATTCCGGAGGCTCCGTCAACGTTTCTGAGCTACGGCAAGACCAATTCCCACCATACCACAAGAAATATAGATCACTATGTGATGGTATCCTATGTGAGTGATTACCTATAGTGTTGATCACTATATGTGTTGATTACTATTCCATACCACCAATATGGTCGAAATAGCTTGGTCTTATAAACCTCACAAGCACTCAGAAGGGATGGTTGTAGAGTGGCCCCACTACAACGCCCAAGGTGGGAACCACCAACCAGCTCATGCTTTGATTCACAGGTATATACCACGATAACTCAATGTTAAATGCATCTACAGCTACAACTATAACTTCATATTAAATGCATCTAAAATCATCGAAATACTGGAGAGATCTGGAAAGGTGACGTCACAAATGGATGGGTGTCCTCATATGTTGACCCCGACCCCAAGACGCCGAGGTCGGTCAACCTCCACCGAGATCGCTGAGTGCAAGCACACGACCGAGCTCATGGAAGGCCCAGCTGCAACGATGAGCCCCTCGGAGAGTGTGAATCTATGGATGTGTAGTGCAACAGCTTTTGGGGTATGGTGAAGCTATGGACAGAAGGACAGTGCATCTATGGACCCCAGGCTGAGACTGCTGGGTGACAAACGAGGAAGAATACACCAAAACATACGACCAAAGATATGACCAAACCCAGCAAAAGGGCGAGACCCTCGTTATTCTGATCTATAGGCCTATGGGTACCATAGGGATCGAGGGCGAGATGAAGGCCTCAGCTCCTGCCATCGGGTACACCCCATCCACCCTCCCCCCATCTCCCAACCTCGCCCTCCAACAAGGCGGATGCATCGGCTGGACCGGCAATGCAAATGGCCTGGAAGATGCAAGATCGATGTGCCCACCCAAATGGAAGCCTTCGAAATACCCATAGGACCCCTCCAGGACCCGAATCCAGAACCATTCCAAGGGCAGGAAGATGGAAGCAGCCCTTGGGTTCAATATATCCATACATCAGCATCCCCATCCTTCCCACACCCAAGAGTTCCCTTGTGGCATGACACATCAAGCGCAGGAGAGCCGCCGGTTTTTGCCCAGAAAATCAACAAGAATTGGCCGAAAAGCCTTCAGATGCATACAGTGCATACCAGGTGTCTTCTTCACCTTCGGACATTTCTTGGAGAAGCTTCACAGAATCAAGCAAGACAACGTGGCTTGGCTCCTACAAGTACAATCGTGTGTGTGTGTGTGTGTGTGATTGTGTGCGTCTTACAATTCTTGTTTGAGTCCCATGAAACGGGATTGCTTCAGGGACCACACAACCGGGTCTTCAACAGGGCAACACACATACAACTCCTTGGCCAATGAAAAGACCTCTACCCATCCTTGTGACCCATTAGCCACCTGAGTTCTACCGCGCCAGCACTCTGTCGCACTCTGACGTACTCTGACCGGTCGCTGTGTCCCCGCTGTCACACCTTGTCGATGATCATGGGTTGAAGCAAGGCCTCTCTATGGTTGGACCTGGGCAATGCTTGGAAAGCGAGTTTGAGCTCTCATCGTCTCCCTATTAACATGTGGCACTCAAAAAAAAAGGGAAGATAAGCGCAAAAAAATAATAGACGTCCCTCCACAAGGTCCTTTAAGAAGAATCACCAGACCACTCACTCACTCGAACCATTTGGAGATCGCATCGAGACAAGGACGAGCGCGGAACATGGGTCGGGCGAGAGGACCCAGCGCCGAACATGGCGCGGCGGGAAACGCGCTCTGCTTTTCACCATCTGCGCTGTGCCAAGTAGGCCTAAACATCTTCATTACTCCCAGGCCACAGCGAAAACGAGCAGCCGCAGGAGTTGCTTTGTGCATGCCTTTGTGAATCATGGCCTGTCCGTGAAAACATGGCCTGTCTGCAATTTTCAGAGTACATTGCTCATACGAAGGCACTCTGGGACTAGGTCCATTTCAGGCACCAAAGACCTGTCACATTGTCACTTCACCAAAGACTGGAAGAGCTTGCTTCGTCGGGTCTCATAGGAAAGCAATTGAACATTGTAACATCAATGAACATCCTACAATCGATCCTGATCGATCTGCTTTCAGGTCCACAGGCCGGAGTTCGAACGCCCGAAGCGGTTTTCTGGGCCCAATGACCCACCCCCTCCGGTGCGGTCAGACTCCTCCGGTACAGACCTCCGATGTTCGGCCGCCGTGGCGCGGCTTGGCCGCACCCGATTTGGCGGCCGAAGAACCGGTCAGGTCCGGGTGCCGTCAGCTCTCAGTATCTCCGATTCCCTCGAACTCATCACCTTGGGAGGGTAGGGGGTGCAGGGCATGCCATGTGAATATGATAGACATGGCGCAGACTGTCCGCAGACTGTCTGGCGAAAGACATGATAAAGACATTGATTGGGAGAGGCGTTCCCCAGCTGCCGCTGCCCATATGCTACGTCGTCGTTAATCCCACGGGTAACTCGCACGGGTTAGGGGGCAACACTGCTGACCATCAATCCTGTCAGCGTAGAGTCATCCCGGAGTGGATAGAATATGGATGAATATGGTAAGATCCAAAAAAAACATAGGAAGGTAGTCTTGCTTTTGGATTGGTTCATATTCTATCTACTCCAGGATGACTAGATGTACAAGTCAAACATGACAAAACATGTGACCCTCTGCCCGGCTCTGCCCCGCTGTCTATTCAAGCATCCATCGTCGACGGCAAAGTCCTTGGCAAGAGTGCGATGTCTGGAGCCTGAAAACCTGCCTCGGCCCATTCTGAGTTCTTCCATGTTGAACAAAGTGGGCATGGAGCCGTCCAGTTGGTCAACGATTCACCACCGGGAGGCCATCCCGGAGCCAGCTCTTTGATGGCCACCCAACAGCATCAAACGGCCAAGCTTCCCATTGCTCTCGAGGTGGTCGCTCTTGTGGCTCCTTCTCCTCCACTCTCGCTTTCGGAAGCCTCGACCGCTGAAAGCACCAGCACCACCACCCACCCACCCACCCACCCACCCACCCCCACCCAAGATGTCACAAGGTCTGGTAGGTCTCGAACTTTGGCAACCACACGACGATGACGAGGTGCTAACGATAATGATGCCCCTTCTGATTCCCGTACATATCCTTCTCACATTCCTGTCCCTGTAGCTAGTTCAAAAGGCTTTGGATGGCTTTGACACCCAATCCTGCCCTCCCCACCCTCCCCACCCTGCCCACCCCCACCCTATCCCATCCCAGCCACGGTGGGATCCTCTGATCCAAGGGCGGCAGACGGCTCAGCAGCTTCTTCAGCGGCTCGGCCTCGGCGGACTCGACACGTCCGGCGGCGTCGTCACGGTCCGGTCAAAGGTGTGAAGCAAAGGACCGATCAAAGGGTGTGAGTTGCCGAACAGGAGATTCACACCTGGTTTGTTACATGTCGACCATCGGACCATTGTCACCTGGTTTAGTAATAACAGCGGAGTTACCGCTCTGGTGTGTTTTTTGACATGTAAAAACAACATCGGACAATCAAAGGTGTGGGTTCTGAGGACCGTCACGTCCGCCGTCCGGAAGAACTTGGCGTTTCTCGCGCAGACCTGGCGGAAGTCGGAGAGAAGTTTGCCACGTCGAAAGCTGTGAGCAGCAGGGAGAGCACTTGGGATAAACGGATTTGGCCTGAGTCTGGGAAACATGTAGAATCTAAGAAATCCTAAGAGACTTTGTAAAATATGCCACCATTCTGAAGGCCTGCCTGTACAGGTTGAGTCAGGGGGATTGTCCAATCTTGTGGTATTTTACCTGTCTGCCACGAAACTATCAGCGACCATCGCACGATCACCATGCCTCCTCCATTGTAGGTCTCTTCTTGGGATCTTTCTGCAAACACATCTCAATGAGATCTAAGAAGAGGTGCGAGAGTTTCCTGCCAGTCACGCACGGCTGATGAGAAGCAACAGATCTTGCGGGCTGTCTATTGATGTCTTTTGAATTGAAAGGGATGGTCTTCAGGTGCTCTCATATTCCTCCCAGACCGAATGCAAGAGGGAAAGGAAAGGCCTTATGAAGCCTTGCAGCAGCGTAATACACCACTTTCAGAATCAATCAATGGAATTATTCTTGAATCATATCTTGTCACCTGGCACTCTCAAATACAAAGAGAAGCATCCAGCCAATGATTCGGCACTAGTGATATCTTGATCGTCTCTAGTTGTGAAAAAAAGACTCTATTCCCATGGCCCCCATCGCCATGGCCTATTTGCCTTGGGCGGATCCTTTTCGATGATGATCTTCATGACCTTTTCGTCAAAGCGAACTTTCTCCGCTGCGACGCGGAACGAGAGAATCAAAAGCGACAAAATGTCTGCTGATCAAGCGTTCCCCGTTTGTCCCGGCGATCAAGTCTGCCCCCTCACGAGTTTGACGTCTCTTTCTCAATCCATCCAAAGAAATGCCTGATGGAGCTTGGAGCTGGGTGCCATCCCACTTGAGAAGACAGGATGTTTGATCCTTGGTCCGACGACCTTCTTGCTGGGGGAGGCAAGATTTCGCATCCCAAAAGCCCAGGGAATCTCTCAGATTGGTGGTTGACCATGCACCCACAAGATGTAAACGAATGGCTTCGGTGTCTTGTGTGTCTTGATCGGGCGCGAATAGCTAAGGGGTTTTACAAAAGCACCATCTTTGCCAGGAAGTGCCACGATCCATTTCGATTGAGAACAAACGGAAACGGTTGTGACATCCAGCCATGTCTAGATGACCGCGGTCCGTGCCTTCAGAGGATGCATCCTTTGGTAGGGCGCTTCCCCCGTTGCCAGCTCGATGCCAGTGATGCCTTGGAAGACCGGCGCCCCAGATCAAGCGGATCACATGAGCTGGTTGCAAGAATGGGATCATCACATACCCATTCAGAGATCTCAGATGTTGCAAGAATGGGATCAAGAATGGGAAATCGCAACAACCGGTACTGTCTCGGCACCAAGCCATAAGACCAAATATCTGCCTTTCGCGGCCACGATGCAGATATGAAAATAGGGTAGAGGAGTGGTGCCAGGCATTCGACTTTTGAGTCCAGTGCGGTAGATGCATGCTAAATACCATGCGTTTGCTCTAGCTACAAATCATCCAGCTTGAAGCCAAAGAGGTTCTGCCAAGATTTCTGGTCTCTGCCCAGGTCCCCAGGTCGACACCCATTGTACCCCGCGAACCCTCGCGCTGCCTTGTAGTCATAGCCATGGGTTTGCTCTAAGACCTGCTTTAGCCGGACGACTCGATTCGTGGCAACGCTTTCTTCGGTGCAAGCCGCCTCCCTTCAATGGCATCGCCCATGCTATCTGTCTAAACGATTCTGACATGCTTACGTCCGTGGAAGCCACGCTTTCTTCGGTGGAGAACCCATCTTCCCCCCGAACGGAGAACCCAATTTGGACCGAAAAAGACTCCCAGTCATTGGAGAGCAGCCTCCCGGTCATCCAACCAATCATCCAACCGGTCATCCGGTCAGTCCTCTGGAGCCATCCAGCATGGAGTGCCCACGAAGGTTTGTCGCTTCTTGTCGTCCCTGCAGGCGACCGGTACGACGTCCAGCATCTCCCGTGCACAGGGAGGCCACGGGGGGTGGCTTCCTGTCCGCCGCGGGGGTTCGCGCTCACCCCGCGCGTGCTGGGTATGTCCACACCATCGTGCTGGGCATGTCCAAAAACGCCTGTCCTTGGGCGGCCTCCGGTGCCATCGGGTGCCCCGGTGACCGGACTCGGGCCTCAAAGGTGCGGCAACACCAAAGTCTGACAGAAAAACCTGGCCGGTGGCGCGGCCAGCGAACGCGGCGGGGCTGTCTCTGCTGCGGCACAAGCTGCGGCGTAAGCTGGGAGTTTTCGGAGATCCGATTGAAAATCGGGCGCCCAGGCTTTGGAGTTTGAGGATCTCAGGTTTTGAGGAAGAGTGCTTGATGATTTGCAGACCCAGACTCTCCAAACAACTTATATAACAGAATTCTCCATATGAGGGTCCAATCCCTCCCCAACTTTGATGTTGTTGGTCATTCTTCAACGGTTCTTTGGGCTAAGCCAGTGATTTCGTTCATCTTCAGCTTTGTCTGTTTCGATGTTGGCTCCAATTCTGCACTCATTGTTATTTCTGAAACACCTGGGTTGCCCGTGCCCTAGCATCAAGGCTCAGGAGGATGTTCCCGGCTTTCAAGTCCCGGTGAATCTGCATGTTGTCGTGAAAGTACTTCACAGCCTTCCCATCGACGGCTGTCAGACGAAGTCGGCGCGGCGACCCCCCCCATCGATGCTGACGGTCGGAGTGTGTGTGTTTGTTTGTTTCGTCAGGATGTTGGCTCATCACAAAGGGGCCGGTGTGGTTGAAAGGGGTTGAAAAAGGCACCCGGGGTCGCTCGGGAACTTTGGGAGCGAAAGGTGTGTTCCATCGCATGTGTCTTCAAGAGGGACAAACACCAAACACAAAATCTGCAAGAAGGAGTTCAACATGCTTTTAATGTCTCGTACATGGTTTGCACTGTGACCTCCCAACTAAAGGCCCAGCACCAGGAGCATGGGAGGGCTTACTGAACCTCAGATGACCAAAAGTAATAATGAATACATATGAGTGTATGTGGAAGTTGTCCAAAATTACTTCTTCTCACAGAACTGGCCACTCGAACCTCGTTGTCTTCTCACCGAACCGACCGGGTTGACCGGTCGCCGGTTGGAACATATGTCGACCGGTGCACGCGAGGAAAGACTTGCGAGACAAACACTAAGGCTGTGGGCATGTAAAGCCTTGCCCAAGGACCATTTCGATTACATCCATGTGTTCTACATCGCTCATGTCTAATCAAATGACCAATCCAATGTCAAGATTCTCCTGTGAATCTGTTTATCATATCCAGCAAGATCTTCCACCATCCCAAACCAACGCATGTCTTCAAATCCTGAGCAAAATCCACAAAACACGCCTTTGCAACCTCACGCAGGATGTAAGAAATGACACCTTGGCATTGTTCGCAACTCGACTCAGAGAAACATGGTTCTCTTTGTTCAATTCCGATCCTTCTCGTGACCTCAAGCAACCGCCTGAACCCGTGTCACACGGTCTTTCTACCGCAAGAAACTGCTAGCCACCATGCGGAAGCCAATTCTCCCTGCTCTGTCTCTTCAAGCCTTGGTGGCATGTCAAAGCCAAGCGTCTCTCATCCTCAAAACCCATTGACTGCCCTCCAGTGGCCCTCATCACCTGGCGCTGCGAATGCTAGCATTCGCATGGTTCTCTTATATATAAACCTTTTCCCAGTTCTCGAGCGAGAGGACCCGTCATTCAGGAAGCTGTCGCGAAAGGACGGTCGGTCGCTGCCTTCGCGTGGCGGAACAAGCCCACAAACAAGCGGTCTTGGAGAACAGCTCCTTTGAGGGAAAAACAAATGGTGACCTCCAATGAAGAGGACCTCCAGGGTGGATCATGAATCATATCTCTACAATTATTATATAGTTTTAACTTCTTTTGGACCACTGGGGTGACATCCACCAGATACCCATGAAGCCCTTGGCCGCGAACCGGACCTCCTCTCCCAGCATTGGGATTCCGGGCGTAGGCGCAGGAGCCGCCCTCCAGCAACGGCATGACCTCGGACGGGGGGCGCGACGACAACGAGCTCGCCCCGGTCGGTGCAGGCTGAACCAGGGGGGGCGCCTGAAAACATGGACAAGACCATGTAACAGAAAACATAACTTTATAACTGGCTCAACCACTAATTGGAAGGATGGTGGTAAGAAGGGGCGCGGCCTTCCCAGGAAGGATTGCCCCTGGAGCGTCATCATCGACGGTCTCGACGGTCGCAGTCGCATCATCACAAGAGAGCACGGCTGTTTGTTTCGCGTTCATCACCATCGATGGTCGCAACCCGTCTTTGATGTTTCCAGTCGATGGGTGCGTCTGTTCGTCGCAGTTCGGTTGACGCGCCGCGTCCGCGCGGCAGCCCGCGTCGCGAACGCCCGCGCGCCGTTCGTCCGCGCCGTTCGTGGCCCGGACCAACCACATTTGCCGCTTCGCAGGGAAAGCCACCTGAGAGACGTCCGACTCGACAGGGTGCGGAAGCCTTGGAGAAGGGAAGGAAGTCACAAGAGTGGGTTGGGCAATAAGCAAGTGGATCTCTTCCCAACAAAATGGAGTCTTTTTGTAGGCCTATGTTCTTTTGAGTACGAGGTGTTTGGAGAGATGTTGGTTCCTGTCTCTCATGGGACTGAGAAAGTTTAGAGCCATAATTACTCAGCATGCGCGAGTCAAAACAAGTCCCACCCTTCGCTGCCTTCGCTATGCCGCTTCAAAGCGCGCGCTCCTGGTGAGTCTGAGCACGTCGGACTGTCCTGTCTCACCAAGAGGCGTGGTAGGCAATGACATTCTCATGGCGACACATCCTCAGACTCCGATCGCAGCGAGTCGCAGCGAGTCGCTGCGCTCTTCCCCCCACAGTGGAGTCTGCGGAGGCGACACTCTTTTTCAAGCCGTTTGGGAAGAAATATGTTTCAATCATCCTCAGTGGTGGCAAATCCGAAAGACAAGGAGAAGTCCATCGTCATACCTTCATGACGCTCGGTGTTTGTAGAGTATTGGCACTGGTGGATCTCGTAGAAAAACCTTCAGAGGTGGGGAGGCCCTGGCTTTGAAACCCTCAGAGGTGGGGGGCTTTGGCTTCGAAAACCGCACCGGAAAAAAAGAAAAGCCAAGGGTCTTCATCATTTGCAGCTCTCGCCGAATTTCTTCAAGGCTCGAGTCAGCAAACCTCCAAAGGTCGAACCGGCGGCACCCCGTCCCGGTCGGTCCCGCGCGCCGGTCGGTCCGGGCACTGAAAAGGGTCAACCAAGAAGCGAGGATGGAGAGCACATGGATGCCACCAAAACGGCTTACACCAGAACGAGGAGTGCAGGTGGAAATGTCCCGATTACACAATTACACTCTGATTGACCGTGGAGCTTCGGGAAAGCGAGCTGCAGGTTGTTCCAAAGTCATTGTTGATCACCAGACAAGAATTGGTTGGGAATCTGGGAAAGCATCAACGTCAACATCAGGTGATCAAAATCGCAAACTCCATTCTGGAGAATCCTCCAACATACCAGTGTTTCGTGTATCTGCTTCGATTCCAGAATCTATGTAAGTGTAGCATCATAAATGGTCGTATAATATGTGTCCAAATCACAATTTGATTGTGAAAATCCCCCCAAAACGGAACTGGGAGTCGAGCTTTTTGAAACTTCCCCCACTACTTCAAGTCCCAAGTGAACACCACAGGAGCACATCGAAGATATACCTCCAAGGCACTCCTCCAGTTCGATCACCTTCACAGCCACCTCCGAACTCGCGGCAGGGCCTGAGTTCACTTTGGCCTGGCTGGAAAGGTGGAAAGGAGTCGGAAAGGTGGAAATGCCAGGATCAAACACAGGATTGCCATAAACAAAAAGGGTGCCTGATCTGAAGTATTGGAATTCCCGGTCCTGACTGCTCTTGTGAACACGCGAACGGGAAATCTGGTGGGTACACCACTGAATGGACACTACTGTACCATGGTCCAGTACTGGTGTCACACAGATTGAGCCCTCAGTACTCTTGCTATAGGAAAAACTGCCAGTGTCACAGATTCACTGAAAGGGCAGAATGGACCACAGCCGCAGGCATCCACACCTTTGAGCATTCCTAAACGTTGCTTTGGAACGTTTCCGGATGCCTTTGATCCCCAGAGGACGAGGTAGACCCGTGGTTGACATCTCCCTGGTAGTTCCATCAGCCCTGTTACTGGGCCATACCAAGCTGCCCCCGATATGTCTGGAACATTGTCAGTCAGATGTCATCTTCGAATGAAAACACAATAAGAGTTCGTGATCCAAGACCTCCAGTGATCAGAGTTACGGGAAAACGCCTGTTTCTCAGTCCATTCTTTTTGTGGGCTTCGTTCTTCTGCGAGAACTACCACTACATGTTCATCGACATTCTTCAGAGTCAACCTCCGTCTTTCGCAGTGATTCTCTTCAGACGAAACCAAGCTCCCACGCCTTGTAGACGGTGGCGAAGGCACCGTGGCCAATGCGTGAGAGCAACGTGTAGCCTCGGACCCAAAACCACCACACGGGCCTCTCCTTCCAAAAAGAGGCACGGAGATGAGCACGATCGAAAGCTCAAAATGTCCAGAGGACGTAACTAGGGTATGGGGCTTGACCCACAGCATTTGGGGGAGTGATGGTGTAACAGTGTATCAAACGGTGTAACAGTGGCGCAATCAAGGTGATGGGGCATACTTCTTGGCTTCGAGGCGATGAGCGATGCCCCGTGTTCGGTTCCGAGGTGCGACCACGGTCGCTGGTGGATCATTCTGCAAGTACATGAGGCTACAAACGACCCTGAAGCAGAATACAAATCAATAGAGCAAAAAAATCATGTGATTGTTTCGATCCATCCTCCTGGATCCTCGTATCAGTCATGAGACCGAAATGCCCATGCCATGATACCTGAGACCTCACCCGACCAAGGCACCATCCGCGTTGCTGGGCCACTTCGTGGAGGTGTCCGCCGAGTAGCCCCCCTCCATGGCCCCTGGAGTGAGGGAGTGGAACGGGACCGTTCTCCCACGGATGAGTAGAGGCGAGAATAAGAGGTTCTCCACGGATGGTTCTCCATTGTTCAGCTTGATCTGATCCAAGAGTGGGATGTGATTAGAGGTTCTCTCCCATTCCTGGTGGTTGTTCTTCAGCTTGATGGTGTGATCCAATGTGATCCATCAGTGGGATGATTGACTGGGATTCTGGGGACTGGAGATTACCCAAGGGATACATCACATCACAGCACAACAAAAAGGCACTTGAAGCACCTGGCTCAACAGCAACCCCAAGGTACAAGTGAAACAACCCCTTGCAATCTGCCACCTGGTGCTGACTTGCAGCCCATCTGCGTTGAACTTCGAGCTCCTTTTTGTTTTGGTCTACAAGTTCTGCGTGTGGGTCAAAATATATACCGGGTGAAAAGCCTCAAAACGGATATGAGAGAGAAAGGGAGGGAGAGCGGGTGTTGGTCTGTATTTTATCTATCTATCTATCTATCTATCTATCTATCTATATATGCAGGCAAGTGATGGGCAACTCTTGCCGCAGACTCATCCGATGGATCTGCTCCAAGCAGCCTGGAGCCGCCGCCGATCCCCGCGCGTTCAGCGCGCTGATCCGCTGTGAGCCGGCAGCGGGAGCCAGCGGGGGGGGGGGGTTGGGGGACAGAACTCAAGAGTCATGTGCACGTGGGGGGAGGGACAACTGGTGTGGTCTTCTTCAAAAGAATGTGTGTATGTGTGTGTGTGTGTGAGCTGTCTCGTATACAATATATCAACTCGCAACTCGGGCAAGCTTCCACACCAGCCTTACGGACCAAGCAGTCCAGGTGTCCGGGCTGGATTTGAATGAGTGTGCCGTCTTTGGCACTTTCTACCGCAGAGGCCACTGTTGGACAGGATGCAGATGGCACCACCTCTGCGGCAGAGGCTGCCCAGAAGAATCCCACTCCGGTCGACCGCGGGGTAGAACACGCACTCGTAACATCCACTCGCCACGTCGGTGTCTTCTCAGTAGTTCGCACGTGCGCCATGGTTTCGCGGTGTTTGGGGGGACGAGTTTCACCTCGCCTGCACTGGCACTGCATCTTCCACCTCCGCAACAACGGCCGGTTCCGAGACGCTCGGAGTGTCAACCGCCGATCGTCCTCAGCATCGAACAAGGCACCCACGCTCCTTTTTCGCCGAAGCCGCCGGTGGATTCGGCGCGAAGCGCCGCGCGCCAGGCGGGCGGAACAGCGATTCATTCGGAGGAGTCACGCGGAGAAGGGCAGCCCTTTGTCCGCCCGAATCGTCGCCCGGTCCCAGGTCCCCGCTCATTCCTTGAAGAGCGAGGGATCTCCTTGGAGCGCCTGAAGGAACAAAGGTTGAAGAATCACATCGCGAGGAAAATACTTGTAGGTGGTGGATTTCTTGCAGCTTATAAGCGCTTGAAGGTTGAGGTGTTTATGTAACCGAAATTAGTCTGATTGTCTTCCTCATGTGGATCTCTTCCCTTTGACAAGAGATAGCCTTGGCTTGTCCAAGTGCACCAGTGCTGTTCATGGAAGAAAGACATTGGCATCACCTGTGCAGTTCATTGACTAAACCACGAGAAGTGAAGTACCCTGCTTTCCCTGTGCAGTTCATTCATCATCAGTAGGGCCATATATGGGGCATGGTGCTTTGGAAGGCGCCAAATGCCCAAACTTGGCAGCAACAACGACAAAAACAGCAGCGGTAGAGAGACAAGTACTGCCTCATCTTTGAGAAACAAAAAGAAGGGGCAAAACATATGGATCTCTGCTTTTCCACCGCTTGACACCCTCTTATTCTGTTTGTGTCTGGCGCGTGAAGAGGCCAAACGCATGGAAGGCTGGCCGTCCTCTTCGTAGAGCTTGGTTTCGATGGGGACCGTCACCTCGATCTTCTCCCAGGTGGATTTCTTGCACCTCCCCTCGGTGCAAGAAATATAAGGACATCTACCAAGAAATCAGAAGACCTGGCATTGAGGCCTCAAGAGTTTCCGATCATGTTTTAAAGTGATTGGTGAAGTGATACCGTGAAGTGATACCATGATGGATTCACCTAAGTGATGGCTCTTCTGCTTGCTGGTTTTCGATTGTGGTCGTCCGTCAAGTCCGTCACCATGGGTCGTTTCACACGCTTCACCTCTCTCTGGGCGTCGGAACCAGCTTCAACTTGAGAGCTTTCAGCGCGGATCCTTTGCTACCGCCTGAGACCACAAAGAGTCCTTTTGGGACACAAGAGCACACAGAAGAACAAACCTGCTCTTGGAAGGTCAATGGAGTTTGGCCAGGCCTAAATCAATTTCGCCTCCTTTCTTGTCCCACAGCAGGCATTGAGCCTCGAGGGCTTTCGTTGGAGCGTTGCTGATCACTCCCGTAGAAGCATCAGCTGGTTCTTTGGGTGTCAAAGATTCACTTACTCTCTGTACATGGGTACAAACGAATCGAACATGCAGAACACGCATCCCCAAAACCCCTGGCGGAGAAAGGAAACGTACGCGGACTGCCGCATGCAAGTTTGACACAGTCTAGAGTCTATAGGTATATGTATCTTTAAGAAGCTTTGATCCTCAATGTACCCTCGAGCACCACTACCCACAGCTCCCAACCCCCAGCACTTGGAGCCGGACATGGCGAGCTTGGGTGCCAAACATCAAACGACCAGTCTCTCCTGCGATGTTGTGTGGTCTGAGCGTCTGACCGTGGCAAATGAAAGAACGCGTGGCATAATTGACCGTGGCATTGGTTTCGCATTGGTTTCGTGATCACACGAAGAATGATCCAACGAAGCATAGAATGGTCAAAGAATGGCCAGAAACAAATCTCTTTGACCAGTCCACTGTCTTTTCACCTGGCGCAGCACCTGGCCAAAAACATGTCCCACCCAGGTGGGACCGTCGACTCACCCGCAAAAAGTCCTGAGGAGTCCTTGGAAGCACCGGACGCTGCTGAAATCGGTGTGAAAGACCGGTGAACAAAAAGTAGAAACAAGAGTTATCAATTCTCCTACACCTGATCCCTACACCTGCAAAGATCCTGTAAAAGACTCTAAGACTCTAATAAAGAAACGAAACCAAAGCTGAACTCATCAGGCATCTCTTTCTGCACTCATGCGCTTGTGCGCCCAGCAACCCCGGAAACGAAGTTCCATGGTGGCACCTGACGCCCAGAGACGTCACAGACCAGCGTGGTCACCATACCATCGGTCTCCTGATGTGGAGGAAAGCTCGATAAGAACGTAATGTAGCCTCTTGATTAACAACCCCCCCATGTGAAGAGGACTTCCAATTTAAATGGAAGGGTTTACTAATCAAGAGTCTACTACATTATTGAAAGAAAACCTGCAGAGACTCGGCCTTCACCTTCACCTGCACCCAACTACAATTAGATATCATCACATACAATATTAATTATAAGATTGCCAGAAAAATAAAGTAAAAAGAAATAATACACCCTTTTGGTTTTGCCGCTTTCTATATGCGCTTTCTTGTGCAAGTGGCATGGCACCAGTCCTTGGGGCCGTCAGAAGGTTGCAACAAGCACTGGTCCGTGTTCCAACTCCTCCACACTGAGCGGAGTTGGTCTTGAAAGAAAAAACGGTGTGAAAATAAGTTTTTCACGGTCCGGTCCATGCTTCCTTTTCCGTTCAAAGTTTGCCAAGTCTCCCGATGGCTGAGCAACATTTCCCGGTCGCTGGATCTCGATTCCTGAGCCGTTTGAAAACTGCTTCCGGAAAAACAGCATCTTCGGTTCAACAAAAATGAAACACATCAAAAAGGAGTTCCCTTTTTCTATGGGGTTCGGTTGCAGGCTCCGTTGTGGCTTCTACCCAGACCTCAGAAGTTGTCAGCTCAGCCTAGCCAAAGGGTTTGATGGTTCACACAACAGCTAACCAATTCTTCAGCCATTTCTCTGTAGCCTCTTTCCAATGGGCACGTCTACTTTTCGTGAAGCCACAAAGAGTGTGATTTCAGAGTGCGTGGCCTTCCTTCCCGACGGCATCTCTACTCCAGTGTCTTTCCATCACCCTCATCGCCAGGCCCCCCAGCCGCGCGTGCCATTTTTGTCCCTGACTGGCAGGGAGGGAGTCGGGGAGTCAGGCGTGGTGGCTGGAACGAGCACTACAGATTCGTTCCCAGGCAGTTTCCAGCGAAAAAAAGCGTTTAGACATGGAACAACCACCATGCGAAAATTCTTCTGAAAGCACCCAGCCTTGAAACCGAAAAGCAGTTCGGCAGCAGCCACATGGACCGTTAGGCAGCGAGATCAGGTGACACCCGTCTGAAACCACATGTGACCATGATGACCCGAGCCACACTGGAGAGCCCTGGAGAGCCTTGGACACCCTTTTGCGCAGCCTTTGGAGGCCCCCGCCTCTCCATGAAGCCCCCGGAAGTTGCTCAACGGTAGGTCGCAGGGCAACAACGTGGCTGATCCTCGGGCAAGTCACGCTGACGCAGTAGGGAAACCGCGTAAAGCTCGAGGAAAAGAAAGTACATGGAAGTACGGAGTCCAGTGGGATCCAAAGTGTGGTACAAGATGTCTTCCGTCACTTAGGGAGTCTCAATCTCTATCAATCTCTTAGAGTGAGATACTCCCCCGTATGAGGACGTCGCGTGTGGAATGAAATTGGACCTGGCCACTTTATCCACTTCTAAACTAGTCCAATCAATGAATAAATCGCTGAAGATCAGTGCACCGGCTGCATGTCACGTTGCGACAAAACAATCAACTAATCAGTCAGTTGAGATCGGTGGCACAAGCGGTCTAGCAGTGTGGCTACTTGCACAATGTGAGTCAAGAGAAGTGCGCTCTTGGCCACAATTCTCGGCCAGCAATTCTTCACAAGCTTGCTCAGACTTGGTCACACTAAGCTAGGTCTCTCTTCTCTACCCAACTGCAGAGAATCTACCCATGGGTGTCCGGAGATTTTCTCAGTGCATGGTTCCAAGAGATCTTGGGTTGGGTGGGTCAACCGAGTCGGCTGCAGACCGACCAGCTCGAGGTCGGGAGAATGGGTTCCCGTAATCCGCTCCTCGTCCCTGCGGATGCGTTCCCATCGGGCCCAGGAAGGTGAGGCAGTAGCCGGAGTTCACCTGGTGGCCGGGGTTGCCACAAACAGCAGGCCATCAGGTGGCCATCCGAGAAACAGCCTGGCTGCAACAATATTGGACAAGCTAGTCGCCTTGCCCATGCAACCAGTCAACCATCTTGTTGGGTTTGAATGGCAGTGTGACTTGCCCCAATATGTGTAGAGATATAGAGGTGGTGATTTTTCTTGATCCAAATGACAAATGAGGGCACAAAAAATCAGCGGCATTCTTTATCCAGCAGCATATAGACATCCCCTCACATGGGTCAGGGGTGGTTGTCCTGTGCAGTCGCAACGAAAGATTATTATCCTTCAGAATCATATGTTTAGATCCTCAGATAAGGTCACGTGTGTCCCAGTGAACCTCGCGAAGTTTGAAGGCCTCCTTCGGAAGCAAGCCACCCTCGACATAGATGTCACCTTAACGTTCCCATCGCGAGGTGTGCGAGGGGGGTCTTGTGTTGGGGGAACCCTCTTTTTCCTAGTTTGGCACTGGAGACCATTGGACACCAGCCCATATATAGACACCCAAATCGTCCGAAAAGTAGATGCCCGCTCATTTTTGTATTGGAAACCCGTGTCTTATCTATTTCGACCACCAGACTACTCAGCGTAGTGACAGAGGACGTCCGAAAACTGCAACCTGGAAGTTCTCTTTTTGGGTCCAAGAGAGGTGTGGGCAACACCCAGGTGCCGCACGCCGCACGCCGCCCAACCGCCTCTCACAGCTCCTGAGGGTCTCGCGAAAGCGCCACAGAAACCAGGCGAAGGGTCGACAGTGCAAGCCTCAGTGGCGGTTTTCAGCCTCGAGCCATCAAACCAGGAGGCTTTGCGTTCAGAGCTACGTTTTGCTACATTTTGCTTCCAAGAAACATCAAAAAAACCTCTGAAGAGATCAAACTCCCTAAGAGTTTTGTTGAACTTGGACCCTGGACACTTGGAATACCTGAAATGGCTCAAAGACAGCTGTCTCTGGCCAGTGGTCATTCAGGTTCTCAAGTTCCGTGTCTGGTCAGTTCCTCAAAGGAAGACCAAGGATCTTCCTCCACCCACCTCTTTGAAAGACTTGACCCATGACGGGCAAGTGAGAAGGAAATCCTATGGATTTCCTTCTGAATTCATCAAAAAATCTTCGGAGTTCCCGTGACCGCCCTGTGCTTGGCGCCTTTGGTTCTCCCATCCTGGGAAAAAAAGGAAGAAAACCACCCCAGCTGTCGCCACTCATCTCTATGTGGCACCTCTCGCGAAGTGTCGAATTTCCAAAGGGTGATCTACCATCTGCGACTGTCAAGGCATGGGTTTCTCACCATCGGCGCCACCGTCATGGAAAGCCTGAAAGAAAACCCAACCAGCGCGGTTGAAGCCATGAACCTCTTAGCAAACATTAGTATACATTATAAAGCCATTTAAATGAACCCAGACAGAATCCATCAGAATCCCATGCTCATACTCCTCTGGTCTTCTCCAGGCAACGCTTTTTCACCTCCTCAAAATTGCTGACGTCTTGGTTCATCTCCACCTGTCCACATGTCAAATCGCAGCACTTACAGGACCTTTTTTAGTGGTCTAATAAGGAGTCCCTTGCGTTGACACGAACGATGTGACAGGCCAGGGCGTTCCATGCGAGACAAGTGCTTGCTACGGAGACAGTCCCACCAAGCTTCAATCAGCCTGCCTGTTTGCTTTGTCCAGACAAAAGGCCTCAGCTGCAAACAGACCAGGCGGAACAAACAGAACCTTGAAAGCCCTCATGGATCCAAGGAAAGCTTCAGGCCAACAGGCAGCCAGGGAGGCATCCAACCGCTGGCCGACCAAACAGACTGAAAGTGCTGACCAGAGAGGACACGCACTACTAGACTGTGTCAAATTCAGAAAGAACAGTAAACCCCAACAACCCTGGTAGTCTTGTGACCTGAAAACCAGAAGGTCCGGTCAATCCTCTTCCGGAAAACCGACCCGCCGGTGACACTCATCTGACCCGTTTGACCCATTGGGTCGTCTCGCGGGGTCGGTCTACCAAGTCTCCGCACCCACGTACCTGAGCCGAGGAGCACCGACTCGCACCGGCCAAAACGGCGAGAACAAACATCACCCGTTCGAGTTTCAAACTGGCAGAGTCTGCCCAGAGTCGAATGCAACACTTTGAAGAGAGCAGATTAGTTAGCGGTTGAGGATTCCTTGGGCGATGAAGAGAACGAAACCCTTGAAGCGTTTTTCACAAAGGCACCCTACCATCGAAGAGCCCTATGTTGAGGGTCAGTAGTGAACATAATCATCTTTCTGAAAGAATAGTAGAAGCAATTCAAATGAAACAGCATCACTATATATTTATATATGTGTTGCTGCCCAATGCCACTGACCGAGTTGCTGCATGGTGGGATACTCCGCGGCCTTTTCTCGATACTCGTCGTACCACGCCAGGACTGCTCTGGCCTCATCGGTTTCACCGAACAAAAGTCACGAGACTTGGCGGTCGGTCCGTTGGGCACTCTAGCAGCCTTGAGTCCAGAATGCGGAAGGCATGTTTCAACAGGTCTTTTTCTATGGTGACTTATGGTGCTGAAACGTGATTGATGGTGGAAAATGTCATTGGTTCATATTGATATATATATATATACAGTATCTCTTGATCCGTATGCTACGAATTAATCGGCTGGCGAGCTCAGCGGTAGGCGTTTCGACTGGTGATGCTCGAACTTCAGGCTCACCAGCCTTGTTCCTGATGGAATCCAGCCCGGAGACCGCGTAGTTCTGTTTAGTTCGGGGATCTTCGTTCCTTAGAAGTTCGGCTGAGAAGGATTTGGCGCCCCCAAAAGTTGCAAGCTCGACGCCTTATGGGAAAGACGAAGCCAATGGGCATACACAGTACAGTAAGACATGTCAACAACGACAATAAGACATGTCCCCAAAACCCCTTCCGACAAGAAGGAACATCGCAACTTCAGGGGTGGAAAACATGTTCAACGATGGTGCCTGTTCGACTCCCAAAAAATCAGCCCTTCCATCGCAGGCATCACCGCTCACTCTTCGCAACTAAGGTGAGTAGGGCTCATGGAATGTGGGCGGGCGAACGACATCGAATCCAGGTTCACCTACCCAGCGATGGGAAGAAAACCCTGGTTCACTTGAAAAAGAACAAACAAACACCGCGACCGAGTCACTTGCGCCACATGTGTGCCACGAAGGCGTCGGACAAAGAGACGATCTCCCCCCCACAGAGCCACGAACGCAAGGACCTCGGTGGCCCGAGGACCGCGCCGATGGAGGACGGCGAAGGCGAAGCGATGGAGAAGGATCCGAGCTCGTCAGGATCAAGACATCCCCCCCTTGTGCAGAGGTTTTAGTTAGGTAAGGAGGATATCAAGACCATGGAGGAATGCCTGGAGGTGTGATGGCGCTCCTTGATTTTCGGATAAAAAAACGGCCCAACTCAGGCGCGGGGAAACTGAGCTCAGCACTGATCCACATTCTCACCGCCCCATCCAGACATGCCCTCATCATAGCCTGGCTTGAAAGAGCTCCGCCCTCGGCACTCCCAATCTGTTCTTCTGCTGAACCCATGTAACTGGCGCCAGAACCCATGACCATGACCATGACTGACCCCAACAAAGCCAACTCCCAACCATGACCCAACTGGCCTGTGCCCTCCCAACCGACCTGTGCCCGTGCCCGTGCCATTCGTTCCGCACCTCCCGTTTCGTTCCACCAACGTCGGGAGATCCCTAAGAGGCCACCCGACAAGACGGGCATGTAGGGTGAGGTGCTCTCCTGGGGCGGATCCAACGAGTGTGGTCGGTGGACATGGGGCGGTGGCTGTCTGCATCAGCGGCGTGGTTCTGCCTGGAACATCGAAATACAATAAACACACAACGTGGCGCAACTTGGCACTTTCTTCAAACTGTTTGTGTTCAACAAAAGAGTATATGTGTATAGTTGCTTCAAGTTTTGCATTTGCCCACACCAACCTTGAGAATCAGCCAAGACCTTCCGGACCTTTACACAACTACCCAACCTACTGGGCCAGCTGGAGTCCATGGAGGTAGCAAAGCATCCATGGAGGTCCATGGCTCACATGCCGGTTGTTCAATCATGGAATGTGTGGGCAGCTTGGGAAATCTGGAGCTCGAGGCTTGAGAGACGTTTCTCCAGTCAAGGCACTACCCACTTGAAGTCGGCATCCCAGGTGAGATAACCTCAGCACAAAGGCTCCATCATGTGTGGAATTCAGAGTGTAGAAATATCCAGAACCCACTCGCCAAATGCTACTTTGCCATACTTGTCACAATGCCATCGTACATGCACAAGACGGATCTTCAGATGCTGGAGGCATCTTTCTTGCCTGACTTCTCTTGGTCTTGTCTATTTGATTCACGTCAAGAGTTGAATAGAAAACATGGAGGACAAAAAACAGGAGCACGATCTGGAACTTGTGAAAAGGTTCACTCTCACCCCTCACCCCTCACCCTTGGGGAAGAGGGTTACAGAAGTGACTTCATAAAGGGATTGAAGATGTCGTGGCCAAACGGATTGTGGTCCTCAACATCTGGTGAAGAGCTCTCCGGTGAAGAGCCTTCGTTCTGCGAGGTGAAGAGCCTTCGTTCTGCGAGGTGAACGCGAGAAGGGCCAAGAAACACTTGGCCATGCCTTGATTTCGATTCACCTCTTTCCAGGTGTCGATGTCTAAGTTGGTAATGACCTTGGAAGGCAAACAGAGGATGGGCAAACAGAGAAGCTCCAGGTGGAAGGATTCGGCCGTGTTGCGAGTCCTTTCTCCAAAAAAAAGCAGCTTGAAATGCAGGTCTATGAGATGTGCCAATCAAATGCAGGGCAGTGCTTTCCGAATGAAACAAAGAGTGTTTCTATTTACCAGCTCTCTGGTGCTGGACATACAAAAGAATCAGCATGATGCCCTCTTAGATTGCTTATACAAGTTTGTTTAAGTTGCCTCTGTCTGTGAGGCAACAAAAATAAATGTACTGAGGCAATAGGTTTGCACGCTTCGTCTCTAAGTGGCCAACAGGAACGACAATCCGTCGATAGTTGTCTCTGATGCCGTCCAAGAACTTTTGATACCAGTCCTCCTTTCCGTGATCTGCGTGATCTGCGTGATTTCGCGAAAGTTAAAAACCGTTCCAGGCTATCAGGCTGTCCGAAAGACCTTCCAACATGCCATGCGTGACACAGCCGGCTTTCCGTGTTCTTCCGGTTCCTAGAGTCTTGCGTAACTGCAATGGATCTTGCAAAGGAAGAGAAATCCTCTTGCAACAAATGAGACTCCAAGCGATACTTTTCGAAGTCCAAGACCATGAGACCGAACGAGTTGCCTTCCAGAAGCCAACACGGGCAAAAAAGAGACCTCTGGGATTCATCGCTGAAACAGCATGGAGACTCCACAGTGAAGTGAGACTTGCTCCTGTGGCGCCACATGACAATCGAAGAAGACGATCACGTCCCCAGCCGCCTGGCTTGCACCTGACGGCCACCAAGTGGCGTCCAAATCGATGAGCGAACAAAGAAGGTGTCGGCCAAGAAAGCCCAAGAACATGAATCACACAGAATGTGTAAACTAGCAGCAATTATGAATGACACACTACACACCACAATATCTACAAAAATCACCTTTTGCTGCAAAAAACTTGGCGGCATCATGTGAATGCTACAGATCCGCCCCACTCACATCGCGTTGGCGGCCTTGAAACCCCTTTCTTCAGAAGCAAGACCGAAGAACGGCTCAGATGGGAAAAAAAGGACTGGGGACCTCCGAAGCTTCCTCCCAACTCTTGGGAGTTGGCACGACGTTCCGCCCATGGATCGGAGCCTGCCGACTTGGCACCCATGAGCCCTACTGGCGACTCATGGCGCACCAGCTTCAAGGGGTACCTGATGGAGACGAAGGTCGACCGTGGAGGGCGGCGCCCGCCAGTGGCAGCGCGGCAAAGAACGCCATCTGTCAGGCTACAAGGACTTCTCATTTTTCCTACAAGGAGTACTTACTGGTCCAATCATGGAGACACAGATGTTGCATTGTGCAGCTCTTGGGGGATTGTCCCTGTATTTGCTCTACATAGGAGATGTGTTTCGGTCTTTTTTCCAAGTGTAAAAAGGAAAGCAAAAGCAACGACTGCGGGAAAGTCACCCTTCAAGTTGCCAATCATTTGTCTACTTGCGAGATTGTGCTTTTCAGTCTTGAAGATGTCTTGCAGCCTTTGGAACACTCTGGACCGCCAAGACTGGTTGGGGGTTGTGAGCATGAGATGTTCCTCCACATTTTCAAACGTCCAGGGCACTTCTTCTGAAACTTCGCCGTCAGGAACTCCTGTCGGACGGTTTTGCGCAGGTGCGAAAAAGTCTACGAAGCAGTTGAACCGCGGTACAATTGGTGATGGATTTGCTTCAAGCTGAAGGTTCAAATCAAACCTATCCATCACTAATGGAACGCGGTTCAAATGCATCACCAATCGTTGGTTCTATCAAACTGTGTTCATCTGTTTTCGATGGAGATTAGGAAGAACCGCGCGCCCTGTATCGAAGGTGACTCCTCGCTCAAAGGTGGCTTGCTACCATCATCCACCACCTCAGCACATCGTGCGTTGAACGTTCAACGGATGGTGCTCTTGTTGTGTTGTAGATCATTGAATCTTTCTTCAACGCTGCAAAGGTGGCAGCTATTGTTGGGGGGCTGCCAACACTTGCACCCCCCCCCCGGCATGTTCGGTCATGATATCTGAGGGTCATGGTTTCCGTCTGGTCAAGTTTCGTTCCACTGAGCCCGACACCACGATATCCTCCAAGATGCCACCAGCGATGCCACCCGGCACCGACCGTGACACCGATTCCACCGTCCTCACCACGGCGACGCGACGGATGGACGGACGGACCAGGCACCGTCGCTCCACGTCCAAAACCGGTCGGATCACATGGATCCCAGCTTCTGCGAGACATGCAGTAAAACGATGGGTCGGCCAGGTGGGGTACCCAACTATGTGGTCCAAGCTGCATGACCCAAACCCAAACCCGCTACACGAAATATCCGTGCCATGTAGAGACCTCATGTTTTCCCCGCTTTTCTTCGTCTCGAGGGATCAAATCCTGTCAAGGCTCTTTTTGGCAAACAAACCTTCTCCAGCACAAGGGAGGACCACCGAAATGGTCTTTGGTGTCCAGCGCAAGGACTCCTGACAATGTCCACACATGCTTGGGCATTGGACACAGCACATTCAGAGAGCCCCAGTGGACGTTCACCAGATGCGAAAGAAAAGCTCTCCTCCACTGGTCGGAGCTCATGGTTCTGTGACCGAGATGTGGTGGTTGCCTGAGGGAGCTGGCCGCTCAGCAGTTTCCATCAATGAGCTCCGAGCAAGTTTGAAGGGCCCATTTCTGGTGCATTCAGAGTTTTGAGAGCCATCTGACCTCGAAGCGTGGCGAGTATTGAGTATATCAGAATATCGGTATATCATGGTAAATCCCATTACGGCCCAGTGGATGATGATGATTAGTAACGGCCTTTCTATAAAAATCTGCTGGTGATGTGACAGGCCGCAAGGCTAAGTATTGATAGACAAGCACCAAGTGAGTCCTTTTGAAGCACCCCCGGGATGGGATCTTGCACAAAGTCTCCGTGCGACCGCTGCTGAAAAATCACCGAGAGGACGCGGGCGGACTGTCTGTGCGGTCGCGATCTGTGACCGAATCAATGCGAGCGCCAATCGTGGTATGGAAAAGGCCGGCGCCAGCTTTTCGTGCCGTCCTTGAACAAAGTCACAGTCAAAGAGCAGCGGTCCGTGGTGCCCTCCTACTAGCCACGCTAGCCGCACTTCTGGCGCCCCAAAATACATGCTCCGAAGCTCGAACGAACCTGCTGGACCCCCAGGCCTTTGTCAGCCGGTCACCGTCATTGCGTTTGGGGGCAGGTATAGCTCGTTCCTCCGGCACGGTCCTCGCACCCCCAGGTCGCGGCGCTCCCCACTCGGTCGCTGCCTCTCGTGGGCGCGACGAAGAAGACCGCGGGTGGGGCCGCGGCTGCTCCGCGGCGCCTGGCCGGTCTAGGCACACCGAGCAACGGAACGGTCCGTCGGTTCCACGACATTCGCGCCCTGGTGGACCGGAAAGAAACCGTTCGAAGCGGTTTCAGAAGGGAAAGAGGGTGTGATATGTGTCATATTGTGTCGTGATGTATCAAACACACGTGCAAATGGTATCTACGGATGATTAAGAACATGTTTGAACGATGAGCAGAGTCTTGTGAGACACACTCAGCAGTCTCCTGAAAATGTCTGAGAACAAATGTGCGAGAAACCTCTCAGCTGAATTGCTGGCCGATGGACTTCTCATTCAGTAGACTACTGGACTGCACCAAAAAGTAAACACAAGCTGCACTGTTTCACCTCCATGTTTGGACCGGATGGTGTTTGTTCTGGCTCATGTATGTAACTGAGTAGTTTCAAGGACGGCCTTGGCTGTTAGCCACACTGGTGGTGCTCGTAGAAGTGCTTGGCGAACTGCTGGCACTATTGGTGCTCACCAGCCACCCAGCAACAACCGCCTTGCTCCGCTGGCAAACGGCAAACGAAGGATTTGCCTCCATTAATCTTCAAGACCTTTAAATGGCAGCAGTCCCCTGGGTATCCTGCCATATTACATGGTTTAAACAACAGTGACAGAATTCAAGATGAAGTGACTGCGGTCAACTTGGCTCGCAAACCCTTCAATCCATACTCCCTGTCAGCTCCGCTCTTCGCCCAGCCGCTACAATCGCCCCAGCCAGAAACCACAGCCAAAGCTTGGGCTTGGAGTCCTGACACCAACATCACGTTGCAAAAGCCTTACCTCCTTGCCTTGACCCCTCGTCTACAGCTCAAACTTGGCATCCTTCTAGCTTCTAGCTGTGTCAAAAACACCCAGGTCTGATGGACACCCAAGCTCCGAGGCCTTCTCAACTTCTTTGACCTTGACTTCTTTCGGCTCTTTCACTTTGGCCTAAACCCGCACCGGCTTTGTTTTGCCCTTTCGTTGAACGCATAAGGCATTTCAAGCGCCAGAACGTGTTCAAAAAGCACCGCAAGGGTATGTCACAGACCAGCTCAAGCAGGTGCCTTTTTTTGAAATCAAACGGTGTGTCGCGTCGGTGTGTCGCGCTGGTGTGTCGCGCCTTGCCCATGGTTCAGTGTCTCAAGATGGAGCCTCGAAATGCAAGCCCCTTGGGACGAAAAGCTCCAGTTGGTGGAATATGGGGGCTCTATAGTGCATTCCTCAAACCTGAACTGTCATCGCGGTCAAATTGTAGCTAACGGATATGATCATATTTTTGGGACGGTCCAACAGCCATGTTCCTCAAAAACGGAGGAAGAGGATTCTGGTGAGTATCAAATGATAGGACTATGGATTTGTTTTGTGAGGGCACCCCCATCCTACCGATCCCCAAGTGGCCCAATATTTGGAAATCTGCATCATCGCTTACCCATGATGCCTCTTCCCTCTGTCGACCACGGCGTAACACACAACGCATTGACTCAAAACGTAAATTGGGAACACCCCAAGGTGACGAAGACATGTGTCATTCTTTGGAGACACCCCAAGGTGAATTCGTTTGGACATTGTTCTGGTTTCGTGGTTCATATTGCGAAAGTCAGGCCGAGGAACTTGGCTCCACCTCTCCAACATGCGTTTCATCTCGACCATGGCTGTCTCCAAACACAGCACAAGGACTGCACGCGTCAGCAGCGCCGTCAGCTTATGCGTCAGCTTGTTAAGCGTCTGTTCTGACGCAGTTCTGACGCAGAGCTGCTGTTGTGTGACTCGGTGGCGCTGCTGAGGCTGAAAGTACTTTGGGGGGAGAAAATTATGAGGCTCCGTCGTTTTCCGTCGAGACCTCGCTGTGAGGTGGTATCTCCTTCTCCAAACAATCCCAGGATGATCGAGGTCGCATTTTTCAGCCTAGTGGCCTTGTGATAGAATGTTCGAGCTCTCAAGCATAGATAGCATGGGTGTGTTCCCTGAACCTTCATATTCCAGCGCTGTTCCTTGCTCGAGCCAGAAAAGCCACCAGTCAGCCCGCAGAGCCGATGCAGGTCATGTGTCCAGTCCCAATGGACCGTGGACCGATGGACCGACCGATGCGCGGTCGGGCCTCTGCCATTGGAGGGGGCCGCCTAGGTACGCACGTCGCATGTCGCATGGAGTGAATCAACCGTTTCCACGGCGGAACTCCCGGCGGTCGAACGGCTTTTTCGGCGAAGCATCTGGAAGTGGCGAACGGCGTCGTGTTGGGCTTAAAGAAAGAATCGGCTTCATAGCTTCCATGTCTTTGGGACATCTGGAGGTGTTGAATGCAACACTTCTCAGCCCACCACCTGGAGATCTCCGCACATCTTCGTCGGATGTTTGGGCGGCCCGGGTTTGGGGTGTGGTAGATCTGCTGGCCAAAGCTGTCTGTGGCGGTCGCCGGAAAAATGACTGCCAGAGAACAAGTGGGAAAACCTCAATCTTTTCTCGAATCTTCGGATCTCTTTCGTGCAGGACCTTGGAATGAAAAATGCCAACTTCTCCCTGTTCGTCCTTGTGTTTCCTTGGTCCAAAATGCTTTGGCTTTTCGGTTAAGGCCCAGTGTTCCATTGGTTTGAGGGGATCTTATGTCAAGCTCTTCGCGCTGTCTCAAGGTCCAATGTTGCAGCACTGCAGGACAGAACACAGCTTGGGCCAAAGCAAATTGACAGCTCAATTTGACGACAAAAAAACCATCCAAAATAGAAGTTGTTTGCAGGTGACACGGAACGCGTGGCTCAATTCACCTTTCAGGTGACACGCGTTCTAGTCTCACTTGCCGATGGTGCTTTCAGTGACACCTTGTGATGCTATCTTGAAGCACAATAGTAGACTGGATGCAAAGTAGTCATGATCAACTGTCGCTCAACCCGAGGCCCCTTGTTACGACCAGCAACACCATGGACCACTTGGGGCTGCCGACGTAGGTCGCCGCGGGTCCGACAGTCTGGGTCCGACATCGAAAGTGGGTGAACACCGTATGGTGGAAGGAGACATCCTCGTGGTTGAACACCACAGAGGTGTAGTATATCCTGCTGAGTTCCCGGGCCCTTATGAAGACTGGTCACCCAAAAGAAGAATAGTAAAGTGCACAGTTCATCCAGCTTCTCCCTGCTGCCCAACCTATTTTTCCATCACACGTAAGGCGGAGGAGTCGACATTTTCTCCTGACAAAGGCAGAACTGTTCCAAGCAAATCTGATGACAGGCTTTCCTTAGCATGTTGCATAGGTGTGTGTGTGTGTGTGTAAAGTATAATATATATATATATATTGATTTATTTAGATATATGTCAGACCCTAAGCTCTCTGCCAAGATTGCCAGATTGGAGACAACAAGGATACCATTCCATTGGAATTTACGGGGAGCCCAAGATGGGGGGATGCAACTATGGACTGCTTACATGCTTCTCTGCCACTTTGACACGAAACACCTGCCATGTTTTAAAAACCATTGTGGGAAGTGCAAATCCAACCCTACCTGTCCAGTTTCCACACATGTCCGTTGCCAAAAGGGAGAATGGTAACGTAGCTAGGGAGACCCGCAACCAGTGGGAGTCGTAGTCGATATTCCCAATTTGCCAGGGATCTTCAATGAAATCGAATCAAATAAATGCATTGCCTCGCCTGAACAAAGACATTGCCTTGCCCAGTCTTGTGTACTCGAAGCTCATCATCGAGGTAAAGGATATCAAAGTAGGGCTTTGGCGGCTCTTTCCTTCGAGTGGGCATCTGCAAACATGCACATTGATATGATCATGGGTTGGCATTGGATACATGCAGATTATATAGACGTGGTTTGCCTTGTACATGTTGTCTTGGTTCTTACTTGGCAATATTGTTGGCATCCATCAATATGCTATAGACAGAAAGAGTGCTCCAAACAGCTGAATGTTTGCGTGCAAGTTTGTTTGAGGTGTCTATTTGGCGACAAATTTCTACGTTGCAAAGAAGGCAGGTGCTGTGCATGAGAACCAAGTATAAAGGCCATTGCTTGTAGGTTGGAGGCCATCGCTATTAGGTTGCAGGCCTACTAGGATGGAGGCCATCGCTACCAGGATAGAGGTCATTGCTTGATATTGCTTGTAGGTTGGAGGCCATCGCTATTAGCTTCCTTTTGCTATTGACATCCTGACAGCTGGACAGGGCAAACCTTTCCCTTCCGTCCCTGCCTGGTAAAGAAGGTGATGATTCGGGTGAGAAAGGGTCCGGGCACCGGCAGGGTGAGGGTCAGCCGCCGCGAACCCAAGGAGATGCCGAAGAACTTGGTCAAGCGAATCTTGACATATCCTTGGCGACCCGGTCAGCTGCCGGGGCTTGGAGCCTCCGATCACTCTGGAGGCACTCTGACTCGGCCCTGAACCCAACCAGCTCTGACTCTGGGTCACCACAACCACTGAATACATGCCACCACATCATGGAAGGGAGGTGATCATGTCCAAGAAATGAGCTTTATCCAGTTTAGTCACAGATTCTTTTGAAGTGGTCGTTGTCCAAGGCCGCTGAACGTGGCCCTGGACCCAACCATTTCAGCGGGACAAAGAGGGTGTTTGATTCACCCTTCAGCGGATGAAGACCATAAAACAGACCTTGACTCAGACCACCTGGTGATGTTCAATGAAGACACAAAACCCGAATGTAGGCTCTTGATTACAGAAACCCTTCGTTTGAAAAACCTCTGAACATATCCAGTGGTTTATGAATCAAGAGTCTATGTTAGATGGTAAAATCGACAGGAAGACTCTCTTCCCTACCTTCGAGCCCCTGATCTCGATGGCTCTCCTACCTCCCCCGATCTCGGAGCGAGCAGTTCGCCAACGGCAGCTGCGGGGCGAAACATCAAGCTCAAGCGCGACATGCTTTCAGCTTCCGCGGTCAGACGCACCCGCAAGCATTCCGCCGCACCACTGTCGAAGTCGACGCAGTTCGTGACGGTGCCAGCCACAGCATCTACGACGTTGCTGACCTTGAAAGTCTGAAGGACATGGCCCAGTAACAAGAAGCTACTAGGAACAAGGGGCATCTGCCGAAAAAGGAGCCCAGAAGCTCCACCACTTTTCCGGCTTCGAGCGAGAAAAGAGGCTCCTTTCTGGGGAACAAGTCTTTGGGCGAGGTTCGTGACGCACCCACAAGAGTGGAGTTTCTCCGGGAAACCTTCGCTGTCCCCCTGGTGCTGTTCCGGGTGAAGGTGGCATCAGCAGCCGTGGTGAAGAGCAAACGCCAGGGGCCATGCAGCAGGCAATCCGTCGCAGCGCGCTCCGTCCCAAACCTTCAGCAAAAAAGAGAACAAGGTACGACATAGTACCCTTCTTGCACTTGATTATGCCCCTCTGGCTGCTGCTGACAAGAAAGTTGGGTTTACGGACTGATGTCATACACCTGATAAAGCATGACAAGGGTTCGGAAAAGCAACTCAAACACTCAACCACTTGTCGACTGGATGTGCAAAATGATTCTGAAAACCCCACTGGCGTTGAAGTCAAGCCACTCTTTCAGAAACTCCTGCTGTGGAGCTCCACTAAGGAGCTCTACCTTCTTCAAGACCTCTTCAGCTCTTTCAGCCAGCGCCTCGCTGGCCCGGCGGAAAGCACCGGAAGCCACCAGATTCGTCGGTGCGCGGTCCTTCTTGTCAAGCTCACCACCTGCGCCAAAAAATAAAACAGAAACAGCTCGGCCAATCCAACTGGTCTGTCTGAAAATAAGGGACGGGAAGATGGGAGAACCCCCCGATGGTTTCCCTACTAAAACACACACCAATCACCCATGTGTTGTGAATTCAAGGGGCGGCTCTTCAGCCTTCCTGTTGTTGTCACCCCGCTGGGCTGAGGCTCGATATTTTAGTTTTAGTTGGAGAGGAATGGCCTCCAACCTAATAGCAGGACTCTTGAAGGAAACTTAAAGGAACCTAATAGCTTCCAACCTAGAAGCAATGGCCTCCAACCTAATAGTGATGGCCTCCAACCTACTAGCGGTGGCCTCCAACCCAATAGCAAGGCCTCCAACCCAATAGTGATGGCCTCCAACCTAATAGCGGTGGCCTCCAACCTAATAGCGGTGGCATCCAACCTAATAGCAATGGTCTCCAGCCTAATGGCAATCGTGCAGAGGAGAATCTCATGGACCTGGTCACGCTTTGTTTCCTTGAGCCCTTCGAAATCTTTTGCATCGAATATCAACCGGCCTTTGACACCAAAGTCAATTGAGAGATCACTTCGATTGAGCTCCTGCTTGAAAGCATCGATGGCCTTCAATAACTCCGCTTTCGCAACCTTGGGTCTTGGACGTTCAACTAAATTGAATCATGAACTTCATGAACCAAAAGGCTAAATGGTTTGGTGTCTTACGAAGAACTGCACCAAACATGTTTGTTTGTTTGTTTCAGGTCTTTTCACATTCGCACCCGTGGTATCGCCGCACACCAATGCATCGTGGCGATCTGTCTTCTATTTTCGAGCTGCTGGAATCTCCAGGTCGCCCGCTTTCCGCACAGATCGACGGCTCAGACGGCTTGGCTGACCTTGTGACACAGCGCGCGCGCGGAGCGGCGCGCCGTCCCCAAGCGCGAGTGAGGCACAGCGGTCCGGCATGTGAGGCACAGCGGCTTGAGGAACAGAAAAATAAGATGGAACCACCATGAACAATGTCCCAGCTGGGCTTCTGGTTCAGTCTTCAGAGTGCTGGGCTTCTGTCCTGAAGTCACCCAGTGAAGTCCTCCAGATCTCAGTGAGTCATTCCAAGAAGTCCCAGGAAGTCCAACTGGACGAGACCATCGACCAACCGCCAGCCCCCCCCCAGCCCTGCCATGCGAACGTCCGCGTCGTTTTGCGCGTCGTTTTCTTCCGTTTGTTGTTGCAGGCTGATCACGGCAAGCCAGAAACGCCGCCTGCTGTAGAAAAAGGACCTTGGTGTGGCATCCAGTTTGGGACAGGGAAGCTAGATGAGCATAAGTTGGGGGGTATATACCCTGATCGGCCAAAACCAGTCGGAAACGAAGAATTGGAAGGGGGGAGCTCAACCAGGCCCTTTGAACCCGCAAGCCACACTTTCAACACAGCTGCAAGACCTTCACGACACTCCAACATTCCAAGACCTTCACGAGATCCGCTTTTTTTGGCTAAAACATGCTTTGGCCTCTTAGTTGAGATACAGTTATATATGCCAGCATGATGACAACACTCAAACCCAGACAGCCCGAACCATGACAGCTTGCTGCAATTGGCACTAACCCATGGGGAACGTGACAAAGACGAACCCATGGGGATGTGGTGGTCTTGAATTTTGTCGGCTGGCAACCGTTGTTCCTTTCTTTTTCGGCAGACCGGGCTGGACCTCTTCAGCGAATCCTCCAATACCATCCAAGCGTCGAGCAAGGACGCACGGAGGACACGACGAGGCATGGCCGGCATGGTAGTGAAAACAAGGTGTGGACTTACAGCGGTTGAAGAACAGTTCGTTTGACCTGGCCGCCTTTGAACAGTCCGGATTTTCCGGGTGGATGGTAGGTTTTCTTTCTGGTCTCTTATGACCTGGGAAGCAAATGAAACTTCGTTTTGGAGAAGTACTACTCCCACCGGTGAGAACTGTTTGGGGTCCTTTGCACTTAGATGCCTTGAGTGGCTTTAGTGATGAAACCACACCACTTATTGAACAGAAGCAAGACTGTATAAAAAATTGTTGGTTTTTAACCCCACAGTGGGTACTGTGATGCCTGATCTCAAAAGCATTCAACTGTTTACCTCGTTAGTTCTTGGAACTACTCTGACTGTAGCTGTCAAATCTGATCTATTTGGACGGTCAACAAGCCCCATGCACATGAGGTACGCTGGCCCACACAGCTACTATTCTGAAGTTCTCACCTTGGATCAAGAGGGTGGATTCTTTTTGGTCTTCAGCGTCAGAAGGGGTCATCTTGGCAAGCGCTTGTGAGATGAAGCGGCATCCAAATCAGCGGCAGCCATGTTTATGTTGCAGACCTGGAACCGAGTTTCTATAATATGAAGGCTTGGCGCCAAGCCTAAAATAACAAAAAAATAAACGCAAAAAATATATTGAAAAGAAAAAAACAAGCAAAAGACTCGTGCAATATCAGTGTGGTGGAAACCCGGAGGATAGAGACAAACACCATTGGATCACACAAACAAAAAATAAACACCGATGGATAAGAAAGATCCTAATCGAAGAGCTAGGTGTCCATCAACTTGCCTTTTCCTGATGCTGACGCGGGGCCCGTTTTCGGGCCCTGGACAATCTCGGACGATCTACTTTGTACAATACTCCGTTGCTCGCTTTTGGTGAGCACTGCAAGGCGATCCGTTGTCTCGAGAACCAACGACTGATATCTACTGGACCCAAATGAAAGCATTCGCGAAACCCTGCACGTTGGAGTTTGCTTTTTGTCAGGCCTTTCAACGGCCTTTCAGGTCTACACTTTCGGTCAGAGTTGCTTTTCCTTTCACCAAAAGACTGCGCCTGATTCCTGTCTGTGCCAAAAGTGCCTGGTAAGCCACAGCAAGCCTTTGGGGCTCATTTCTTGCTCTTGCCTTTGCCACCTCTGTCACCTCTGCCTTTGCCTTGGCGCAGAGAAAAGCATGAACCTCTCAAAGCAGAAAGCACCGGTGTTTGGGGAAGGAACAAAAAAACCATGTCTATAATTGACGCGAAACCTCGCTGGGTGCCAAAAGAGTGCAAAAAAAAAAAGTAAAACAGAACGGAAACCCTCCCTGTGAGGTCCTGCCAGCTGGAACCCCTAGAGCCACCGTGCCGCTGAGCCAAACCGACGAATGACCGAAAAACGTTGCGTCTCATGGTCTCGAGACCGAAGCGGCCATCGCTCTGCACACGCTCTGGGACGCCCGGAAGGGACGCCTGCGACCGATGCCTAGAGCCTACAGGCAAGGGTACAGTGGCACGAACATCGTAGGTGCAAGAAGGAGTTTCCTCTTGGTGCGCAAGAATTTTCAGCAAGCTATTAGGATCAAGGCCATCGCTTCTAGGTTGCGAGGGCATCGCTAGTAGGAAGAAAAGGACAAACATCGAATCCGACCTTGGGGCGGTCAAGACATCACATATGGGCTCCCCGGCCGGCTCCTGCAAAGCGCTGCGGCCTTGGCGACTTCGGTGAAAATGGTTGAAACCGATGGGAAGGTGACCACATGCCTACTGGTACCTCTAGTGAGAGCTGAACAGTGACAAAGCAAACTCACCAAGCTCACCTGGTCAAGTGAACACCCAACAAATGAAAAGAACCACGAGGAGAACAACATCTAACTTCATACAAGAACCACCACCACCACCACCACCACCACCACCACCTGCTGTCACCACCCTTCTTCACCCAACCTATCCAGCCCAAACACGTCTCTTTCCTCCGTCACCGAGACACCCAAAGGCCATGGGCAGGTCCGAGAACTGTTCGCCTGGAAACCAGTCGAGTGGGCGGCACGTTGGGCGTGCGCGCGCGCGGTGTAGCACGTTGGGCCCCTGAGAAGGTTCGTTCTGAACGGTTTCCCAGACACCGTAGATGAGCTCCCTGAAAAAGGGAAGTGAAGCAAGAAAAACTCAGACTAAAGCCCACCACACGTCATCTTACGGGGACAAGGGCTTCGAAAACTATCAAGGCCATTCCGGGGACTGGGTACCGCAATCAGATCTACAGTCATTGACGTCAAGCATGGAGAAATCCCATAGAAGATTCCGACCATGACGGTGACACGAGAAACACAGAAGTCACACATGTGTGGGAACTGCGTGGTCTTTGGCATCGAGTCGTTGAGACGACTCGCTTGTAGGGCTTGTACCAGAGCATGTTGATTGGGAAGTTCTGGTCTGAGGACTAAGCCAATGGTATGCCTTTTCCAAAAGCCAACTGTACAAGTGACGTGAGATCCTTCTGTTAGGTGTCGTTTGTGTTGTGAGCAAAACTCCTCTCTCCCGAATGAAGATGATGGAAAGAACATAGTGCTCTTGTCCTATTTTCTTGCTGGATTCCATGGAACTTTGTCTGAAGAAAGCAACCACTTTCAAACAATCAAGGGTTGGAGGGTTTCCCTATTTCCATGCGCACTTACAGGGCACCCCAGTATCTTCTCCATCTTCCTTTGAGAAGCTCCATCCGTGTCTCTTCGGCGAAAACGGAGATCGTCTCTGAGATCTTCACCCACTTGAGCAAAGCCTCACCGCAGGGATCTTCGAGCGGTGGGTCGGGCCACGGGTGCCACGGGTGCGCGTCGTTGTGTGGTTTTACCATGCGGACAGGTAGGCATGTGGACTAGAATAGAAGCCACTTCAATGGGAGTGTGGTAGGAGTTTTGGAAGAAAGTCCGGTCTCCAACGAATACAAGAACGGACTTCTTTGCAAAAGCAGAAAGCGTCAGACGGATGAAATCCAGAAAAGACGTGTAGGTTCATAGCAACACATATGGCCTGGTCAGCGAACACATATGCCAGCGTGTGGTGTCGACCCATTCCCATTTTCGTGCCAGTTCCTGGAAACCTCAGCTGCGGATCCCTTCGACCGCATTCCAACCCGCCTACGCCGCCTGCGCTGCTGTTCTTACGCCGACGCGCGTCAGCCACTGTACAAGCCGCGCTTTTGGGGGCTCGTTTGGCACCCTTGACTCCGTCTGAGCCAATCGGAGCGAGGTCAAAGAGCTTAAAATAGGCCCAGCCTGGGCGGCTGGGCGCCGCGGCCGACTGCACAAGCCGACTCGTCGAGTCGCTGCAGCCGGGCCAACAGCCTACAGATCTTCCAGCTTTGGCGCCAAAGGTGCCAAAGTGGCAGGAGATGGCAGGAGGGGATTGAGAAACTGATTGGCAACGTTGGTCGTTGCAAACACTGCAGGCGTGCCGTCCGGTCGCGAGTGATTGTTTCACTTCTCAAGATCGAAACCACATCCGGGAAAGCTAAGATTCCGGAAAGCTAGGATTCCATCAGCAAGCAGAGTCTTCCAAATAGATCTAAGAATAGATCCTGTCAAGAAACGATGGAAGTTGTCTCTATTTGTTTGGGACCAACAATCCAACTTAGTTCAACTCAAAGGGAAAAATCCATTGAGTTCATCACTACGTCTGTCTGATCGAAATCTCATGAAACCAAACCCCGCTGCAAAGAGCGAGTTCTTCCCGCTCAGGAACCGCCCATGTAGACGTGGAAGCTGAAGAACCAGGTTCTGAAGCACCTCGTGCCAAGCAAAGACGAAGCAGACAAAAAGGAACTGTCGCACACAAAAAAGTCACGAGTAGCTCCGAAAAGTTCCAGAAGACTTAGAACCTCTAGCGGACATGTCCAGTTCATGGTTAAATATGTTAAATTGGCTTGATTCTCCTGCTTAATGCCTTCTTCACGCCTAATTAACGATCTTAAAAATACTCTAGTAGCAATCTATATATATATAGCGTATATAGAGAGAGAGAGATAGAGAGAGATAGATAGATAGATAGATAGATAGATAGATAGATAGATAGATAGA